TATATATATATATCATCCATAAATAAACTTAAAAATAGAGAGGCTTTATATATCATCTTTACCCAAACAAACAAAATATCTGAAAAATCTCTACAATACTTTGGAAATGGCACAGCAAAGTAATGGATGATGATGCTAAGAGTCTCTATCGGTGGGCATTGCAATGATCCAAGTGGACGTTATCCTAAAATATGTGAAGAATGGGGTGTGAAAGCTTTTACTTAAGAACTTGGAATCGTAGAAAGAGAGTCCAATGGTCACCAAAGCTCCTAACCCATTTTTGGATATTCCTTTGACATATTCATATTATGGGGCTTGTGTAGTGAATAGTGATCCTTATATTTTTATCTTTTAAAATATGATAATATCAAAGTCCAATATAGACACAAGCTTGTAACTATTAGAAAAAGAAAAAAACTCTATAATTTGTTTCTTTTATCATTTAGCTAGTTTTGGTGATGATTTTAGAAAATATTATAATATGTTTTGAAAATTGTCATAACTTTTTCTTTCAAGTTTCAACCAAATACTAAATTAAAAATCGACTCTTTCGATTAACCGCCAAATTTGGAGGAATATAATTAATATACATCGCACAAAATTTTATAAGTAAGAAATCATATATCACTCAAAGAAATGAACAAACTACAAAAGATAAATGAGAGATATTTGTCTATATTATAGAAAAATGAAAACTACATATTTTGGGTATATAAAACACTATAGAAAATATCTAAGCTTTTATCATTTTTTTTGTTCATTAGAATTATATATTTAATATTTAAGATTATTTTAATTTTTGGTTTGGACTTTTTTCCTATGAAAGAACATGTACATGTACACATACATAGTAGAAGAATAGTTTTTTTTTTTTTTTCTAAAAACAGATGAAAAAACTATTGTGCAAACGAGCATCAACATGATTTATAGAGCACTTCCAATTCCATACAATTTCAGTTTAACATTTTACCATTTCCTACTCAGATTCTTCTTCTTCAAGTATAGAAACCATTCACATTATTTTTCAGGATTGAAGTGGTTTAAAAGTAATCCAATTTGGTGAAAGCTTGGGAATATGCTCTGTTCCATTACTTTCACATGCCAAACAGAGCTAACAACATACTTATACGACTTCAAATCCCTTTTCTTCACGTCTCTACCTGCAAATAAACAACCATCTTTCTCAATTCCCAATCATATTCACATCAAACAAAACCATACCATACTTCTAAGTTCTAACTGAATACATAACTTGGTCACCGTTTAATCGGGTTAGTATCTAAGATGGTTTTGGTCCCAAACAAATATGTTGAAGTTCATTGAGGAATGAACAAAACATGAGGCTGTAGAAACAAGTCTAATGTGAACAAATGGGAGAAAAAGCCTTGTGCCACTCATTATTCTCTCTATCTCTACTAACAAAAAAGAGACAAACTTGAAAAAGGAAATGGGTGATTCTTATTCTTTTAAAGAATCTGATAATGCACAAAAGAAAAAGAAATACTTACTAAAAAGAAGATTCTCATTTTGAGATTAGGACATAATATTTTGTCTTTCCAGAGTTTAACGGTTTATAACATGACGTTGTAATATGCCCGTCTGAGAGATAATACAGAGAAGCAGAACCACACCAGAGTTAACCAAAGTTTGAAAATCAAATATCAGGAAATAAAAAGGAGGGACCTTTTGTATGAGATTATAAAATGGCAAAGCTAAGTTGATATCAAAAACTAGGCTTCTCTCTTCTTCTATCCTATATAGCTGAATTATAATTCCCGGTATGTAAAAATGCCGAAAAGCGAATTTGTTCTGTTTTCTCTATTGTTGTGCTTATAGATGTTTATGTAACTTTTAGTTTTCAGTGCAATAACAATCAGAGAGATGGCAAGAAATGATTGGATCAATAGTTACCTGGAAGCTATTCTTGATGTTGGAACCAGCAACAAAAAGAGGTTTGAGAGCAACTCCAAGATTGTCCAGAAGCTTGGAGATATGAACAGGAAGGATCATCAAGACAAGGTGTTTGGTGATATGAATAGAAAGGATCATCAAGAGAAGGTGTTTAGTCCCATCAAATACTTTGTGGAAGAGGTTGTCAACAGTTTCGATGAGTCTGACCTGTATAAAACATGGATCAAGGTTTGTTTCTCAATCTGTATGTTTATATCATCAATTGTATAGATACACAAAGGACACTGGAGAGAATATTGTTCTTCATATTCTCCCAAAAGTATGGAAGTGACCGGAGTTAAAATAGTAAGAAGCAAAGAATGTGAGATGTGATTATTTATTTATTAGAACCAGAACAAACGCATTTATACATAAGTTTAAATACCCGGAAGTGATGGTGGAGAGATCTTTCACTTCTTGTGGCAGGTGATAGCAACAAGGAATACTCGTGAACGCAGTAACAGGCTTGAGAATATATGCTGGCGTATTTGGCATCTCGCACGCAAGAAAAAGCAGGTTTGTGTACCATTGGTTATTAACCTTTTTGACCTCTGCATTTCTTTAAAAGCCTATGCATCAGAAATACAGAAAGTTTAGTCCTCACTCGCTTAAATTGAACCGTACTTTTTGATTCCACAGATTGTGTGGGATGACGGGATTAGACTATCCAAACGGAGAATCGAGCGTGAACAAGGCCGCAATGATGCAGAAGAGGATCTTCTTTCTGAGCTTTCTGACGGAGAGAAGGATAAAAATGATGGAGAGAAGGAGAAAAATGAAATTGTTACACCTCTCGAACGACCCCGGGATCAGATGCCACGTATCCGCTCTGAAATGCAAATTTGGTCAGAAGATGATAAATCAAGTCGAAACCTTTATATTGTTTTAATAAGGCAAGTAGAGAGATTGGTTTATCTGACTTATTTGTTATTGTTAATATGGTCATGGGACTTACCCGGTGCCTCTACTTGGTTCCATACTTTGCCAACTGCAGTATGCATGGACTTGTGCGTGGAGAAAACATGGAGCTTGGAAGAGACTCTGATACTGGCGGACAGGTATATAACCATCTTCTAGTTCTAGTAGACTTCGTAGTAAAGATTCAATTATTTACGGTGCTTCAAGTGTCGCTTCTGGCTTTCTTAATTTTCCATCAATATGAAGAGTCTTGTTAATGGACGAATAGGTGAAATATGTTGTTGAGCTTGCTCGTGCGTTGGCCAACACTGAAGGGGTCCACAGGGTTGATCTCTTAACAAGGCAGATCAGTTCACCAGAGGTTGACTACAGCTATGGCGAGCCAGTTGAGATGTTATCATGCCCTCCAGAAGGAAGTGACAGCTGTGGCTCCTACATTATCCGCATCCCCTGCGGTGCTCGGGAAAAGTACTATCACATAAGACTTCTTGGAATTTATTTATTCAAATTCCTGCTTTAAAGAGAAGTTGAGAAAGAAGCAGTTAGTTTCTCTATACTCATGTTTGTCAAATACAGGTACATACCAAAGGAGTCACTCTGGCCCCATATCCCCGAGTTTGTTGATGGGGCTCTAAATCACATAGTGAGCATAGCAAGGTCTTTGGGAGAGCAAGTGAATGGAGGGAAACCAATATGGCCTTATGTTATCCATGGTCACTATGCTGATGCAGGAGAAGTAGCTGCACATTTGGCAGGAGCGTTAAATGTGCCAATGGTGCTAACTGGTCACTCTTTGGGAAGGAATAAGTTTGAGCAGTTGCTTCAACAAGGGAGACTTACCAGAGAGGATATTGACAGAACATATAAGATCATGAGGAGAATAGAAGCTGAAGAACAGAGCCTAGATGCAGCTGAGATGGTAGTGACAAGCACACGGCAAGAGATTGAGGCGCAGTGGGGGCTGTATGATGGTTTTGATATCAAGCTGGAGAGGAAGCTCAGGGTTAGAAGACGACGTGGAGTCAGCTGCCTTGGCAGATACATGCCACGAATGGTGGTATAAATACTTTTCCATCTCCCATAGTATCTGATACATGACAACATGATGAGTATATCAAAATAACTTATACACTGCCAGCTGATTAAACAGCAAACTGAAATGAAAGTAAAGTCATTCACCAATCTGACCTGTCTTTGTGGCATCAGGTTATACCGCCAGGCATGGATTTCAGCTACGTCTTGAAAGATTCACAAGAGCCTGATGGTGATCTTAAGTCGCTAATTGGCCCTGACAGAAACCAGATAAAAAAGCCTGTGCCACCAATATGGTCCGAGGTACTCTTTTTTCATTATTGTGTTATCACCAACAGAAGTCATATCCATTCTCATGCAAGAAAGTTTACAGTCTTGTTTTCCCTGTCTTATAATCCATGGAGAAAATACTTACATAAACCTATCCCCTGCAGATAATGCGATTTTTCTCAAATCCTCATAAACCAACAATACTCGCGCTGTCTCGTCCTGACCACAAGAAAAATGTCACCACATTGGTCAAAGCTTTTGGTGAATGTCAGCCTCTTCGAGAACTAGCCAACCTGGTAAAGTATCTCAGCATTTACCAGTGAACTATATGTACATGAAGATTGTGGATAAGAAGACTGCTAATCCACCTAAATTGCTAATAAAACTGTTCCAGGTACTTATACTAGGTAACCGAGATGACATCGAAGAGATGCCTGATAGCAGCTCAGTTGTTCTCATGAATGTACTAAAGCTGATAGACCAGTACGACTTGTACGGACAAGTAGCTTATCCCAAGCATCACAAACAATCCGAAGTTCCAGATATTTATCGTTTAGCAGCCAAAACAAAGGTACGTAACATGAAAATCCTATTAAACAATATGAAAAAGATGTTATCGTAAGCAGTTTTCTAGAACTCATAGCTCCTCTCTCTACAACATGAATACCATAATTATATGGTGGTTTTCTCTCTTAAAGGGGGTATTCATTAATCCAGCTCTGGTGGAGCCTTTTGGTCTCACACTCATTGAGGTAACTATAAACTATGTCAATGTACTTTTTAACTTATTATACACAACCTCTGAGATCTTCATGCCACACCATTTGTTGTGCGTATGACAGGCAGCTGCTTATGGTCTGCCCATTGTTGCCACCAGAAATGGAGGGCCTGTTGATATTGTGAAGGTAATCAAATCAATTAATATAAAACTCATTGTATAAAGACATAGTCACACCTCACTGATCCCGAAAAGCTTACCAACAGTGCATATGTTGTGTTGCAGGCACTAAATAATGGTCTGCTAGTCGACCCCCATGATCAACAAGCCATTTCTGATGCCCTTCTAAAGCTAGTTGCTAACAAACATCTCTGGGCTGAGTGTAGAAAAAACGGACTCAAGAACATCCACCGTTTTTCATGGCCAGAGCACTGTCGTAACTACCTATCCCATGTTGAACACTGCAGAAACCGTCACCCCACAAGTAGTCTAGACATCATGAAAGTTCCAGAAGAGCTCACAACTGATTCTCTAAGAGATGTCGATGACATATCTTTGAGGTTTTCCACAGAAGGAGACTTCACGCTCAACGGGGAACTAGATGCAGGTACTAGACAGAGGAAACTAGTCGATGCCATAAGTCAAATTAATTCTATGAAAGGTCGCCCATCTGTTATCTACAGCCCAGGTAGAAGGCAGATGCTCTTTGTGGTTGCTGTTGATTCCTATGATGAGAACGGAAACATCAAATCGAATTTGAACGATATCATCAAGAATGTAATGAAAGCTGCAGATTTGACATCAGGCAAAGGAAAAATAGGTTTTGTGCTGGCATCAGGTTCAAGCTTACAAGAAGTTGTGGAGATTACGAAGAAAAACCTGATCAATTTGGAAGATTTTGATGCAATAGTTTGCAACAGCGGAGGTGAGATCTACTACCCATGGAGAGATATGATGGTTGATGCAGACTATGAAACTCATGTGGAATACAAATGGCCTGGTGAAAGTATAAGGTCCATGATTCTGAGACTTGCTTGTACGGAACCTGCAACAGATGATGACATCACAGAGGACGCTAGTGCATGCAGTACAAGATGCTATGCAATTTCTGTGAAACAAGGAGTCAAGGTAGCTCTTTCAAAGAATATTTTTCTAATCAAGAGGACAGCCTAAATTGAATGCATGCATATTTTCCTTAAAGCCATGAAATAAGTATTGATGTATATATATGTGTGAATGGCAGACTCGAAGAGTTGATGACCTTAGGCAGAGGCTTCGAATGCGAGGTTTAAGGTGCAATATTGTCTATACGCATGTGGCGACAAGGCTAAATGTTATACCACTATGTGCATCAAGAATACAAGCACTCAGGTTAAAAACTGCTAAGACCAAATAGTTTCGAAAGCATGTATGCCATGCGTAAAATATCTACAGTCAAGATGACATGAATTGGTTGCTTTATGTAGGTATCTTTCTATAAGGTGGGGAATTGACATGTCGAAGACTGTTTTCTTCTTGGGAGAAAATGGAGACACAGACTATGAGGACTTGCTGGGTGGCCTCCACAAAACCATTATTCTAAAAGGTGCAGTGGGATCTGATAGCGAGAAACTTCTTCGCAGTGAAGAAAATTTCAAAAGAGAAGACGCAGTGCCACTAGATAACCCTTACATTTCCTATGTCAAAGAGAATGGCGGAGCTCAGGAAATTCTGTCCACTTTAGAGGCCAATGGGATCAAGTAATTATTTTCAATTTCAGATCATACACTTCAATGGGTTGGTAAACAGTGAAAAATAACAAGACTACATAATTTCATATATTGTATACTGCAATAAAAAAGGTTGAATATTAACTTTACCACAGAATATTAATTTATGCACAGCTTCGTCTTAGTTCTTTAGACGGTCCCTGAAAGATTGATACCTGAATGATCTAGGGTACTATCGCCCCTCCCTTGGCCTACCACAGACCAACAATGTGTTCTCGTCACATCCATATTTTGCAGTGTAAAATTTTCCCTGCCACAAGTGGAAGTAGTTGTGACAGCAAAATTGAAAATCATATAGAGGCTGAAGTCCAATTTTACAATCAATTGGTCGACAACTGTGGATTCTTAAACCAAAATATGCTCAATCAGCAAAATAGTCCACCTAAACACAAGGAGACACCTCAAATGCCAAGCCTTATGAATAATGCATGCTAATAGCAAAACTAAATCCATTGAATATGATAGACAATGCAGTAACCTGCATCAGTCCCTACAGAAATCATCACCACTTGGTTCTCTACTTCTAACCTCAATCAATTTTACTGTAAATATCAGATCAGGAAAGACAGTACCACAGTAGTATAAGTAGAAAATGTAAATTTATGGCGAAGAAGATATACCGTTCGTTTGAGCAAGCATAGTCTTGATGTACTACTGCAAATACATGTTCATCACTTCTTCTCGACCGGCTTCTTATTCGAAAAAATAACTATGTAAGCACAATGAAAGTTAAAGAAGGTTTGGAATCACATACTCGCAAGAACGCAAAAACAACAAGACAATCACGTGAATATTCAGCTTCCAGCAAATTTAAAAGGAGACAGGATTGAAAACTAGAGAGGAAAACACGAGTAGCAAAACCAAAGAGCCCTTTGTATTCCATTATAATTAAAATTCTTATAGAACTGAATATTCTTCAACAAGTATAACAATTGAGTACAAAAGTCACAATCAGAAAAAATCTTGCAGGAAAATTTCCTAATCTGAACCAACCAAGATCACATTGGTCACAAGAAACCACCTCCATGAATCTATCCACACAATCACATATAGCCATCCACAAGCAGACCTCCTCCTGTCCAAACCTGACCATAACGATCACTCTAGTCTAAAGACCTCATCTTGCATTGAGATTCCTCAATTCTGTACCAACCCATATCACCACATTGCTCACAACTGATCATCCTGAATCGGAATCTTCATATCCGAATCAACCCAAACTCGGGTTTTCAAAGAACAAGAACCACAAGGAAGAACAACAGACGCCACAAAAGCATCCAATTTCCTAACTTGAACACAACCACCATCTCTCAACAATCCAAACCCCATTGTTCCTAACTCAGTAGAATCAACAAAAAAGTAATCACCACATCTACACTGATAAAAAAGCTCAATAACTTCACTATCTTCACCAGCCATCTCAACTGACATATCCTCAATACTAATCTCATCAGCAACAATCCCATCATGTCTTGAAGATCTAAGATCATTATCGTAAACCACACGTAGCTCCGCATCGCTTAAAACTTCCCAAGCTTTTTGAATTTTCAGAAACTTCTCATCGTCTGAGCTACATCGAGAACTGTTGAGAAGCTTATCTGGATGAGAGTGGAGAATCGCAGAACGATAGCTATTACGGATCTCTTCATAGCTCGCGTCTTCTTTCACGGAGAGAAGCTCGTAGTATGTCTCGTGAACACAATTCTCGCCGAGAAGCATGATTCGTTAAATCCACGACGGTGCTAGGTCTCGAAATTCACCGGCGACGGCGAGAAAATTCCTGAGATTTATTAGTGAAGGAGAGAAGTTGTCGGGTTGACCCGCTTAAATCGTTTCGGATCTTGATTTGTTTGGGCTTGGGCCTGGTTTAAAAGAGCAATATTTTACCCTAATACTCGAACCCGGTTCTGGAAACACTGACCCGCTTAAATCGTGACGGATCTTGATTTATTTGGGCTTGGGCCTGGTTTAAAAGAGCAATATTTGACCCGAATACTCGAACCCGGTTCTGGAAACACTGACCCGCTTAAAACGTGTCGGATCTTGATTTATTTGGGCTTGGGCCTGGTTTAAAAGAGAACTCTTTGAGCCGAATACCTGAACCCGGTTCTGGAAACACTGACCCGCTTAAATCGTTTCGGATCTTGATTTTTTGGGCTTGGGCTTGGTTTGAAATAGCAATATTTACCCGAATACCCGAACCCGGTTCTGGAAACACTGACCCGCTTAAATCGTGTCGGATCTTGATTTATTGGGTTTGGGCTTGGTTTGAAAGAGCAATATTGGACCCGAAAACCCGAACCCGGTTCTGGAAACACTCATCTTCAAGACTTCAACTTTGGGGAGAGAGAGACGCGCAAAAGGCGATCAAGATCAACGTTCATATTGTGAATCTGGGGAAACTTTTTTGGTGAAGATTTTGTAGAATCATGATGGGTTTATCGAAAGGTAGATTAAAAGCATGGTTCAATAAGAAAATCACTGATCCTCTTCTCCAGATCTTGCGTAGGTTTGTCTTCTTTGACTCTCTTTGTCTCTACGCGTTTGTATTGTATGATCATATCTGTAGATGGATCTGGAACTAGGACTAGTTTGGTTACTCTGATTCTGCTTCTCATTATGGAATCAGATAGATCTCCATGTGTTATTTTGTTGATTTTGTGTGTTCTTTTATAAGCTGGACTTATGCATTTTGATTCTTGTTGGTTTCTTAATTTGGAACATTAGAGAGATTGTGTGGAACAGTTAAAGTTAGAGTCTTTGGCCTTGTATCTTCATGTAGCTCTTAGAGGGTCTTTAAAGCATCTCTTTCTCTGTTGTTGGAACACAAGAGAGACCATTTAGAACAGGTAAAGGCAGATCCTTTTATCATTGTATCTTCATGTAGCTCTTAGAGGGTCTTTAAAGCATATATTTTTATGTTGTTGGAACACAAGAGACACCATTTAGAACAGGTAAAGGCAGATCCTTTTATCATTGTATCTTCATGTAGCTCATACAGGGTCTTTAAAGCATATCTTTCTCTGTTATTGGAACATATGAGAGACCATTTAAAACAGTTAAAGGCAGATCCTTTTATCATTGTATCTTAATGTAGCTCCTGAATGATCTTTCGGGCATCTCTTTCTCTGTTTTACAAGTGTTTGTAAAGTAATTTTTGAGGTTGGTTTTGAGTTCGTTTTCGATTTTTCGTAGAGGTACTGAGCCAAAGCAGCTTGCTTTCTCTGCCGCACTGGGTATTACTTTGGGAATATTTCCCATATGTGGTGCGTGTTTCTCACCATTTTCTGTTTCCTATGCTTACAGTTTTTTGCTTTGAGATTGCAATGTATCTTATTTGAGGGTGATTTTTGCTATGAAACAGGTGTTCCTGTGTTTCTATGTGCAGTAGCTTTTGCCGTACTCGGATCTGCTTGTCATGCTCCTACCGTTATGTTGGCTAATATCATTGCCACTCCAGTAGAACTCGCGTAAACCTTATACCCCTTTAATCTATTGAAATTTACCACTTTTATCGAAAAGACATGTATATCAGTATTGTTCCTGACTTGGATTTTGGTTTTCCTTTTCATGTCTTTCTTATGGAAGTCTGGTGGTGCCTTTCCTAAGACTTGGTGAAAAAGTTACTGGTGGACCTCATTTTCCTTTGACATCAGATGCTCTAAAGAAGGTTTTCACTGGTCAAGCATCTCAGGAAGTATTTTTAAGCATTGGTAACGCGGTAAGTAGCTATAATGAGTCTTTTTTCTCTTAAGCTTATAGGTGAAAATTGTGAAACCGCTTGTTGCAGTCCCTAGCATAATCTTTTGTTATCTTATCCTTTATTTCAAGTCTGATTTCCACTCGTAGATTGCGAATGTTGTCATGTCTGAAAGATGAGTTGTTTATTTAACTCATGGTTATTGGTATCACAGTTACTAGGGTGGCTCGTAGCAACTCCATTTGTCTTCATTTCGCTATACGTTGTCTTACTGCCATGTTTCAAAGTTCTTGTCCGCAAGTTCGGCGCTGTTTCTTCGGCCCCAAAGACACCTTCAAGTATGGAGACAGAGATGAACCCAAAGCCAAGAGATGCTTAAATTCAACAAGAGTTAGAAACCTCACTGTTATTTATTATCAATACGAAGCCCTTAAATTGTAACATCAAGTTGCCTAGACTAATGGATAGAGTATACACACTTGCATTGTCAAATCCTCAACACTCTGTTTGTAAACTCTTTTGGAAATGTCAGTAACCAAAAAATATTGAACGCCTAAACTCGCCAGTTCATACATAAGCGTGAAGTTTATTTTGTTTGTTCTAGAGGTGTTCACATTATCCCAACCCAAGCCAAAGTGAAGTCCATGCACAAACCATTGTTCAGTTGAACTTTTCATATTTAAATAAATAATGTAATGACAAAGACTAATTAGTAAATTAGTAATGATAGTTTAGTTTTTCTAGTTTATTGCTTTAAACTAGGTATCCACTAGTCCTACTCAGATTTGGGAGTTTTCTAATCACCAAAATAACAAGAAGATTCTTAAGTGTGTGTTGTCTAGATAATACAAAATTTGCATCTCTTTATTTCTTATTGGAAAAAAGATGGCTGGGTACACCAAGTATAAAGGAATGCATGGTCACACATGCCAAGTATCATATTTTATACTCATCTACACGAACTATATGTATTACATAGTTATATGCATCAACTATACAACGTCATGTAGTCAACACCATAAACATAAAATTCTGGTACACCGGTCAATTGATTCTGGCGTTGACCGGTGTTGACTCCGGCGTTGACCGTTTTTGACCAAAAAAAATATTCCAAATTTTTTTTATATAATTTTATTTATTAAGAAACTAAAAACTATAATTATTTTTAAAAAAATTTTTATTATAAAAAACTATAAACTATTTCAAAATATTATATTATTAAAAAATATAATCTTAGGAAGAAAATGGTCGATGATTTTGTATTTAATTCAAGATATTAAAATCTAAATTAAAACTAGAAAAATTCAAAATAGTAAAATAATTCAAGATACTAAAATTAAAAGTAGAAAAATTATGTGAATTACTAAGGGAATTAGTATTTTTATATTGTTAATAAAAAACATTAACTTATTATTTGATTTATTTAAATACAAAATCACCATAGCAATTTTCTTCCTAAGATTATATATTTTTCATTATACAAAACCATAAACAATTTAATTAAAAAAATATTTTATATACATATTCAATATCTAAACACTAGTTTTGTTTATATATTTAATGTATTCATTCTTATTATAATTAGTTATTTTAAAAATGTATAGCTAAATTAATAGTAAAATAGTTCAAGATATTATAATCTAAACTGAAACTCGAAAAATCTTATGAATTAGTAAGAGAATTGCTTATTTTCACATTGTCAATCAAAACCATTAACTTATTATGTGATTTAATTAAATACAAAAATCATTGTTACAATTTTCTTCCTAAGATTATAATTTTTTAAAGTATACAAAAGCATAACAATTCATTATAAAATAATTATAATTTTTAGTCTTTTTAACACTATAAATAAAATTATATAAAGAAAAAATTTGAATTTTTTTTTTGGTCAAAAACGGTCAACGCCGGAGTCAACACCGGTCAACGCCAGAATCAGTTGACCGGTATGTCAGAATTTTATGTCTATGGTGTTGACTACATGACGTTGTATAGTTGATGCATGTGGCCATGCAATACATTTATTTCGTGTAGTTGAGTGTATAATATGATATTTGGCATGTGTGACCATGCATTCCTTTATAGTTGGTATAGCCAGGCATCTTTTTTCCTTTCTTATTTTATATCATTTATTTAGATAATGATGCAGTTGGTTTAGTATTCTCTTATTGATATATTTACTAAATCTTTAATTCAATTAAAACCGAACCAAAATAATACCAAATTAAACCGAATCTGAAAATCGAAATGCTACTTTTGGATTTCTCTGCAATTCATCATCGGCCTAATTATTCTGATGGGAACAAAAAAAAAAGTAATACCGAATCAGATCAAACTAATCCCGAATAAAACCGAACCACACTTTTATCGAACCAAACCAAACTAATACAATAAAATCGAATCAAACTAATACCGAATAAAACCAAACTAATCGTCGAAACCGAACCACCAAAATAATACCGAATAAAACCAAACTAATCGTCAAAACCGAACCAAAATAATACCGAAGAAAACCAAACTATTCGAACAAAAAAGAGTTGTCTAGATAATAAAACCAAACCAAACTTATACCGAATCGAACCGAAAAATAATAGAAATACCACTTTGAGTTTCTCAGCAATTCATTTCATCATTAGCCTCACTATTGTGACCGGAACAAAAAGAAAAAGTATCTAACTTTGAGGTTAAAAACGGTCCTCTTGATGAGAACACTTCTTACTTTGATTATGTATATAAATTTTGGAAAGAAACTTAACTTATAACAAAAGCCATTGACTTTAGAAGTTGACAATGAAGATGTCAAAAAGAGAATCTAAAAAAAAAGTGTCTCTTGGTTCGTACCAACAAGGTACAAAGAAGAGTTGACAAAACTAAAAAGCATTGCGAGAAGGCAAATCTGCGAATCTCCGCGTCCGTGGGAGTGATCAAAGCTGATGTGTTTCATCATCCATATCTGAATATTCTCTAATGTTTTTGTTTATAGAATGAATCATATTGTCATTAAACTATTACAACTTTGGATGAGTCTACGTATTGTGAGATGTTGGTGGCATTATCATATACTAAACTACCAAAGTGAAATGATGCTACACACATCAACAAGCTTATACAAAACTACCATGGTCAACAAACCTAACAAACCTGGCAAACTAGCAAAGTTAATGGTTATTTTTTAAAAGTAGCATGTAAATCACTCAAGATATTCGAAATTAGCATAACAATAGACTTGGATTATATATAGACAGTGGTCGTTGGAAATGGTAAAAATACTTATCAGTTGATGATTTATTTTTGCATTTAATAGCGTAACTGTTTCTCGAGATTTACGCAGAAATTTACGCTCGAACGTTATATTTGAGATATTTAAATTATTGTTTCTATAAAGTGAATCACGACAAAAAAAAAAGTTTAGAGCATCGATCATTGACCTAAAACTAATAAATTTTCATTTTAAAATGGACCCGGGTATTCCAAATTAGGATAAACATAGATTTGGATTTTAAGTAGAACGTCTTCGTTGGAAATGGTAAAAAACTTATTAATTGATGATTTATTTAACACAACTGTTTTTCGAGATTTGCGCCAAAATTTACACTTGACGGTTATATTTTGAGATGTTTAAATTATTATTTTTATAAAGTGAATCACGACAAGAATTATAATCGATCACTAATCTAAAACTAATAAATTTTTATTTCAAAATGGACCAGAATGTTCAAAATTAGCATAAAAATAGATTTGGATTTTATGTAGCACGTTCGTTGAAAATGGTAAAATATTTATCAGCTAATGATGCATTTTTGTAATGAATATAGTAACTTTTTTGAGATTTACACTGAAATTTACGCTTGAACGTTATATTTGAGATCTTTGACTTACTATTTCTATGAAGTGAGTTACACAAGAAAAAAATTAAAACATTGATCACTAACCTACTATAAGTTTTCATTATAAAATGAGCCGGATATCCTAAATAAGCATAACAATGGATTTAGGTTATACAAAGCACGTGTTCGTTGGGAAAAGGTAAACTAATTATCAGTTAATGATACATTTTAGCAGTTAATAGCGAGATTTACGTCAAAATTCATGTCCGGACATTATATTTGAGATGTTTGACTTATTATTTCTATAAAGTGAGTCATGACATGAAAAAAAATTGGAACATCGATGACTCACCTAGACACAACAAGCTTATACAAAACTACCTTGGTCTACAAACCTGGTAAACATACAAAGCTAATGGTTTTAAAGAGTAGCATGCAATGTCACCCAAATATTTCAAATTAGCATAACAATGGAGTTGGATTATATGTAGCACGTGTTCTTTATTTACGTAATTGTTTCTCGAGATTCACGCCGAAATTTATGCTCGAGCGTTATATTTGTGATTAAATTATTATTTTTATAAAACGAATCATGACAAAAAAAGTTTAGATGATCGATCACTAACCTCAAACTAATAAATTCTCATTTTAAAATGAATATGGATATTCCAAATTAGCATAAAAATAGATTTGGGTTTTATGTAGCACGTGTTCGTTGGAAATGGAAAAGTATTTGTCAGTTAATGATGCATTTTTTTGTAGTGATTATTTTTCGTGATTTACGCAGAAATTCACGCTTGATTATTATATTTGAGATGTTTTACTTATCATTTCTATGAAGTGAGTCACGACCAAAAAAAAAGAGAGTAAAACATCGATCACTAACCTAAACTAATAAGTTTTCATTTAAAATGCAAAATTCATGTATGGATATAATTTGAGATTTTTGACTTATTATTTATATAAAGTGAATCACGATAAGCAAAAGTTTGGAACATCGGACACTAACCTAAAATTAATAAATTTCATTTTAAATGAACCAGATATTTTTATTAGCATAATACTGGAGTTGAGTTATATATAGCATGTGTTTGTTGGAAATAGTAAAATAATTATCAGTTAATGATTAAAAATGGAGATATACGTAGAAAATTCACGTCCAGACATTATATTTGAAATCTTTTTAATTATTATTTACATAAAGTGAGTCATGACATATAAAAATTAAAATAAAATTAATAATTTAAAAGTAATAAACATTCATTTTAAATTTTTTTATCTTGTTTTGTTTGAATTTTTCATTACATCAAATAACTGTTTATTTTGTATTCTGTCAATTTTTTTCTTAAATGATAAAATTTGATATATATAATTTTTCAAGTACCATTTTACTAATATAAAATAACATAATATGATGTAATTTATAATTTGAGAGACACAAAATATATAATATAGCTAATCTCCTTTCTTTCAAGTACCATTATAAAATTTGATATATAATTTATATTAGTAACATCAATTTACCACTGGGTTTTAAGGCTTATAATGCATATAAAAAAAATTGAAATATTATTTTTGTTGTAACTTTTTAAATATATATATATATATATATATATATTTATCAGATATGACAAACTATTAGTATTGTAACATTTTATATATTATAAGGAGAAAGTGAAGTTTTTTTATAAAATTATTATTTATTTCAAACAGCTAGCTCCAGCTAAAACTCATTTAATTCCTCTAATTAGCAAAGTAAGCAAATTAAAAAAAAAAGTATATATATATATATATATATATATATATATATATATATATATAGTCAACAAAAAACAAAAAAAAATACAAGTGTTTAAAAAGCTAAAAAACAAGTAAAAATAAAAACAAACCGAACATGTGTCTTGTGTTTTCAGTATATAGTCCCATACTCGTGTGTATCGTAATTAGTGATTTTTATTTTTATTTTTTAAAACATATAATTCAATGAGTATGACTCAGTTTCAACAAACCTAACGGTTTCAAGTCTCAATACATGTTACACTTGTTTTTTTTTTTTTTTTTTCCCTTAAAGGCTTAAACTATGCAAATTGAGAAAGAAATATATATTTTATATTTCCTTCTACTTTTGAAAAAAGTAATATATTTTTGTACATATCCTAATATGTAAATTAATTAGCTAGATATTATTATCTTTTTTTTTTTTGTTGTTGTGACATGTTCTCTTTAGAGAAATAAATAGGTAACACAATCTACAATATAACATCACCTGAAACTTTCCCCACCTCTCTCTTTCTCATCCTATCTATCACCACCATATCCAGAATCTTGTGTTTTTCTTGTCAAAAGATGTCTTACACTGACCCAAACCAAAACCCAATTCCAGTAGCTTACATTTCTTCAAACTCTTCCTCATCAAATGATGCTGACAAGATGAAGCTTTACCAAGCTTTTATCTTCTCTGTTCCCATTTGTTTCACATTCATCGTCCTCTTCGTGCTTTACGTCATTTACCTTCGTCGAAACAGCGCCACAAATGTTGATTGGTCTTCTCTTGGTATGCGTGGTGGTGGTACCCTTGCTCCTACCAACAACAATCTCTCTAGGGTATGACTCCAAAATCTGTGGTTCTTGAGTCTTCTTGATACATTTTTGATGGGTTTTCTTGGTTCTGTCTTGATTTGTTGACTCAAATATATATATGAACAGGCTGAATTAGGTCTGAGCAAAAATTTTAGAGAGATGCTTCCCATTGTCATCTTCAAGGAGAGCTTCTCTGTCAAAGATTCACTGTGAGTTCTTATTTTTCCCTAAGATATTATCTTATTTTCTTGATTCATGATCTTGAGACAGATCTTTATAAAAAGTTTTAACTTTTTAGGTGATAGAAAAGTTCAAAGCTATGTTGGTTGCGTGATATGAATTAAAACCAAAGTGAGAGATAGAAACAAGAAAGAGAAATGAAAATTTTGCTTTTGAGTAATAAATTTTGGTGTTTCCTATGTTTTAATTGTGGATAATGAATCTTGTGAATAAGATTGCATTGTTAGGTGAGGAAAATGTCATCATTTTACTTGGATTGGATTTAAAAGAAATCGCGGTCTCATTTTTCTGAGTGTAGGCATATGTAACCCCCAAAGAACTCAGTTGGTGCAATTTTGTGGTTTCTTAGCTCATTGAGTGTGATTTAGAATAGTCTCATATGAGTTTTGTGGTTTGTGTTAAAGAATCTTTTATTCTCTTAGATAATTATTGGCCTCATGAAATGGGTATTAGCTCCAAAAGAAACCTGACAAAACTGCTTTCTGTGTTTGTTTGTTTCTTTCTTTGTTTGAAGAGCCAAAACATAAGTTATAAGTATGATTAAGAATCACCTGGTTTTGATTTGACTTTGACTTGAAAAAAAAAAAACAGATGTTCAGTATGTCTTGGGGACTACCAAGCAGAAGAGAAGCTCCAACAAATGCCAACATGTGGGCACACTTTTCACATGGAGTGTATTGATCTATGGCTCACATCACACACAACTTGCCCTCTTTGTCGTCTCTCTCTTATCCCCAAACCATCCATAGAGCTGTCCCATCAAGAACAAGCTGAGGTTGTCTCTTCCATAGAAAACACTAATGGAGGAGGAGGAGAAGCTTCTGCTCAAGCAGAGTCCCAATCAACAACAACCGAAGTAGTCGTAGTAGCAAGTCACATCGATGATGGCCAAGATGGTAACCGAGATGGTCAAGAAGTGGTGGTCTCTAAGGAAACTGAAGAGAATGAACGGAACAGCATAGGGTCGACATCAGATGGTTGTTGTACTTGTAGACTTGGTTAAAAAGCAAAAATAGCTTTTTGGATCTTGTCTTTTTGATGATGTTTTGGTAGAATTTTTAAGAGTTTTTGTGCTTCTCTCTTGCGTATTGTGACTTTGTAACAATGCTAGGGAGTTAAATGAATGCATTTATCTATAAGAAGAAAATCTATAAGTTTGGGTTAATTTGCATTGTTGTCACAACTTTCTTGGAAAAAAATCTTCTTCACATGAAAGAAAACTTGTGGGGACTATCCAATATTTCTCGATCTTCCTAATCTTACCCGGTCTAAGTATAATGGACATAGTGCACATATTACAAGGCCCATTTTCATTTTATTAAAGAAATCTTAATCAAAAGTTATTTGCCCACCAAAAATCGATTTGTAATACAAATAGGAGCCCAAAATTAATTGGAAAAATGCCATTTAAATCACGAATTTTTAAATTTTGGCCAATTAAATGTATACTCAGAAATCTACTACACTTCATATAAGAATCTACAAAACCAAATTGAATATATATATATATATATATATATATATATACTTAACTATAATAGTTTTAGCTTAAATAATTTGATACTTAGTTGATAATCACTGTTTCCGTAAAATTCATTACCGTTTTTAGATATTTTTCATCAAGTTTAACATCGGATTAAATTTTTATTCGAGAATAAACGTAATATTTTTTTTGATTAATTTGAAAATTAGTAGATAATTTTTACCGTCGGAATTTTCGTTACCGTTTCTGTAAAATTTATCTATAATTCATTACCTTTTACGATGTTTTGTCATCAAATTAAACATCATATTAAACTTTTTTTATTCTAGAGATAATGAGATAGTTTTATTAAAGAATTTGGAAAATATAGTTATTTGAGAGTATAGTCTCAATTGCTAGCTAGATCTTTAAATTTTGGAATAAAATAATATTATTATATCAATTTTCCAAATTTATTATTTGCGTGTATGTATATAACTATATATTAAAAATAATATTAATTTTGTTTATAATGTCATGGACCACGTCCTCTTGTTTGGTCGTTGAGTTTCTGACTTATTCTTCACAAAAGATAGGACTCAATCTCAAAGCTCTCACACACATGACCCAAGAACCCTAGAGAAGAGGAATGAGAGAATTCATCCTTGATTTTGAATACATCGCCGAAGGATTTTGTTGGTACTTTCTTCTTCTCTTTGACTTACTCTTCGACCTCTTCATCTCTGTTTCTCTCTTCTTCTTTGCTCTAATCACAGACTTCTCTTCTTTCCTCTTCTGTCTCAACTTGATTGCTTAAAGAAAGACAAAACCTTTTGTCTTCTCTCAAAATGGGTTTAATCAAGAACACAGTTCACTACTGTTGTGTCTCAAGAGACAATCAGATTCTCTACTCTTATAACGGTGGAGACCATAGTAACGAGACTCTTGCTGCTTTGTGTTTAGAAAAGTCTCCGCCTTTTCACAATTGGTACTTCGAAACTATAGGGAAGAGGAGGTTTGGGTTCTTAATAGGAGATGGGTTTGTGTATTTCGCCATTGTTGATGAGGTTTTGAGGAGATCTAGTGTTCTTAGGTTTCTTGAACATTTGAGAGATGAGTTCAAGAAAGCTGCTAGGAAGAATTGTAAAGGGAGCTTTACTGCTATGATTGGTTCTATTAATGTTGATGATCAGCTTGTTCCTGTTGTTTCTAAGCTCATTGCTTCACTTGAGCGTGTTGCTGAGAGTAGTAAAGATGAATTGAAGAGTAGTAATCTTGGTGAACAGAGCGAAGGTTCGAATTCCACTAAAGCTCCTCTTTTGGGGAAGTCAAGTAAACAAGATAAGAAGAAAGGGAAAGATCATGTGATTTCACTTAGAGGTATTGAGCTTGAAGAACATAGGAACTCTAGTGATAGAGGAAACAGAACTGATGCTTCAGGAGCAGGAACTTCGTTGCAGAAGGAGTGTGTATCGAGCAGAGGACGTTCTGTTTCTCAAAGCTTTGAATGGAAATGGCGTCGTTTAGTTCAGATTGTTCTTGCTATCGATGCAGCTATTTGCTTGACACTCTTTGGTATTTGGTTGGCTATATGTGGTGGCATTGAGTGTACACGTTCTTGATCTATATAGTTATGTTTCTTGATTTGTGCAGACGAGAACTCGGATATACATGAATCGATTCTTTACATTGTATGTGAAAGCTCTTAAGTTATAAATTGGGTTATGTGTGTAGCTTTAGTCACTGCTTTGTTCTATATATATGCAGTTGGATCTTTTCTCTCTTCAGTGTTCTTTGTGGTCATGTCCATCTCTATATATGATTAAACTGTTTTGAGCTCTCAGCTTTGAACTCAATCCTCTTTCAAGTATGATGATTGGTCCAAGTTAAATCCCTATGTGTGACTTAACTCTAAATTATAGGCAACCATGGTGTTGCATCTTACTTGAACTTGAGTGGTTCAACCATGTGGAACTTGAGTGGTTCAACTTGTCTTGCTTAGCCCTGGGCATTTGGGTATTCGGATCGGGTTTGGGTAAAAACCGTTCGGGTTTGGATTTCTCGGATAGAGGAGTTTAGGATCCAATATGGTAAATATAAAAATTTGGTTCAGTTACGGTTCGGATCTATTCGGGTTCGGGTATAAATTTTCATAAACGCTATAAACCCCAAAAAAATCGGGTACACAAATACTCGAACATTTGCTCGAATATCCTAAAAATTTCAGGTAAATGTCAGGTTTTGGATAAATACTCAAATTTTTGGGTAAATACCCGGATATTTGGGTTAAAATTTCGGAGTTTTGGATATAAATCTAGGTATTTTGGATTTTAAATTATTTACATACATTTATATCTCAAGTATCTTTGGGTTCGGGTTCGGGTTCGGATTAAGGAATCTAGGACCCAACAAATAAATCTAAAATTTCAGATTCGGATTTTGGATTTTGGTTCCGGTTTTTTTTCTCCAGACCTAGTCTTGCTTGCTCAAGCAATTCTCAAACCCTGCAGAAGCGATTCAACATCTCTCTGTAAACATGACCCAAATATTACACATATTGGACCATTCCCAAGCCCAAATTTCAGGCCCATTACAAATCTAAACCAGATTGAGAAAACAAACCTCTCTTCTCCCACAGCTTCTCTCTCCTCCATCGTCTCCTCCATCTTCACCACTGAACCAAAACAACAACAAAAAAGCTTCCTTTATGTGCCCTTTTGGGCAAACAAAACAAATGTTCACAAGCCGTAACGTCACGGCTAGGGTTTTCGAACGTCAGATTCGAACTCCTCCACCAAGCGCTTCCGTCAGTCCCAAACCCTTTCAATCTCAATCTCAATCTCAATCTCAATCTCTTCTTATCTCACTTTCTTCTTCAATGGCAGGTGAATCGCGCAAGACGCTTCTACGAAAACCTAGTCCCAAGTTACACACTTTACGATGTCGAATCACCCGATCATTGTTTCCGCAAATTCACAGAAGACGGTCTCTTCCTCATTAGCTTCAGCCGTAACCATCAAGAGCTCATAGTCTATCGTCCTTCTTGGCTCACTTACTCAACAAAAGACGATTCCTTTGTACCTTTACCTCGCCGTGCTTCGAGATTCGATAGCTTCTTCACTCAGCTTTACTCTGTTAACCTCGCTTCAGCTAATGAACTCATCTGTAAAGACTTCTTCCTTTATCACTCTACTCGTCGTTTCGGTCTTTTCGCTACTTCTACTGCTCAGATCCATGATTCAGCTCCTTCCCCTGAAGCTGTCCCTGGTGTTCCTTCGATTGATAAGATCACTTTCATACTTCTTCGATTAGATGATGGTGTGGTTCTTGATGAGAGGGCTTTTCATCATGATTTCGTCAATTTGGCTCATAACATGGGTGTGTTTCTCTATGATGATCTTTTAGCGATTCTTTCGTTGCGTTATCAGAGGATTCATCTTCTTCAGATTAGGGATTCTGGTCATCTTGTTGATGCTCGTGCTATTGGTTACTTTTGTCGTGAGGATGATGAGCTTTTTCTTAATTCTAGCTCTCAGGTAAAGTGAGGATCTCACTTTGTTGTGGTGTCTTGATGTAGTATACAAAGTTTTGAGGTTTGTAAAGTTTTGATTTTTTAGGCAATGATGAGTCAAGATAAGAGCAAACAACAGCAAAGTTTGTCTGGGAATAAGGAAGACGATTCTGCGGAGAATGGGTTGCATCATCATAGTCAACCTAGTGGTTCGAATTCGTTTCTGAGTGGTATCAAGCAACGGTTACTTTCTTTCATCTTCAGAGAGATTTGGAATGAAGAATCAGATAACACTCTGGTTTGTTTTTCTTGAACTTCTCTATGCCTTAGTGGAGTTTTACAATATTATACTTTATTAGTGCATTATGTTTGTGTGAGAGAATTTGTTACTGCTTCCTCTCTTAGATGTTGAGAAGGAAACTACTGTAGTTGCTAGGCTATATAAAAGGATAACAGAAGTTTAAGGTTTAGGATGCATCGTAAAAGTTGAATATCTTATAAGTTCTTTGTGATTTCCAGTTTTCTTTGTAGTTTGCAATGTATGCTGTAATGAGTCAACTACATCTTGAATTGAACTGATTGAAAGACACCGTTTCTTAATTTGTCAGAGGGTTCAAAGTCTTAAGAAGAAGTTCTATTTCCATTACCAGGATTATGTCGACTTGATTATTTGGAAGGTAATCAATCATGTGTTTCCTGCTGCTGGAATCTGTCTCAAGTGTTTTGCATTTGTTGTAGAAATAAACTAACCTTTTCGGTATTCTTGATCCTTAGGTTCAGTTTTTGGATCGACAACACTTGCTAATTAAATTTGGCAGTGTAGATGGTGGGGTAAGCAGCTAAATTCTAGATTACATCGAACTGATATTGTCATTTTCAGAATCTAAAATTTGTTTAATCAGATTTTATGATGTTGATGGATAACTCAGGTAACAAGAAGTGCTGATCATCATCCAGCTTTCTTCGCGGTGTATAACATGGAAACAACTGACATTGTAGCTTTCTTTCAGGTAAATGGATCTTATTTTGGCAAGTTAATTTGTGTAAAATTGCATCTACATATAAGTTGACTTAGTACATTGATTTATGCAGAACTCAGCAGAAGATCTTTACCAATTATTTGAGCAATTCAGTGATCACTTTACGGTATCAAGTAGTACACCATTCATGAACTTTGTAACATCGCATTCTAACAGTGTCCATGCTCTTGAGCAACTTAAGTACATGAAGAATAAAGCAAACAGTTTCTCTCAGGTTAGTGCACCTTTCGTAAGTAAATTTTTCGATATTGTTTATTTTGACGAATCTAATAATTTTTTTCTACACAGTTTGTGAAGAAGATGTTACTCTCTTTGCCTTTCAGTTGCCAGTCACAGAGTCCTTCCCCATATTTCGACCAATCTCTCTTCCGGTTCGATGAAAAGGTAAGCCGTTATAAAAAAACCTTGTTCTCTCTTCCACTTCAGGATTGAGTTCATCCGGCTAACTTAAATTTCGGATATGGTTACAGTTAATTTCCGCAGCAGATAGGCATCGGCAATCCTCAGACAATCCAATTAAGTTTATATCTCGAAGACAACCGCAAACGCTAAAATTCAAGATAAAACCAGGTTGGTTGTTTAGATATCAAAATGACGAAAAAACAAAACCGAAAAGAACGCGATTTAGTATAACATTAAGATTGATTTGTCTATTTAAATGGTGAACACACACAGGACCAGAGTGTGGAAGTGCAGATGGTAGAAGCAAGAAGATATGTTCATTTCTCTTCCATCCTCATTTACCACTTGCCATCTCCATCCAGCAAACTCTTTTCATGCCTCCTTCTGTCGTCAATATCCATTTCCGGCGATGACGACTCTTGTGGTTTCCACTAGTGTCTATTCTAGTCTAGTCTCCTACATGTTGTAATCTATTGTTTGTTTGTATAAAAAAAAATAAAAAAATATCTCAGAACAACACATAATTTTGTGAACAGATATATGCACTCTCGGTAGATCCTCATTGAGCAACGAATACAAGATTTTGAAGATCAAACCTGGTCTTACTAAGCCAGTCTTGTTTACGTATGAGATCTATGACTTTACCACTAACCCTATACACATTTTATTAGGTTTATCATTTCGAGTTAGAGAGGACCACGGATATAAAAATTGCATAATATGCTATCCAACATAATCTCTCATAATTAAATTACCCATCACACATTAATATTAATAATTAGGAAAAAAAATTAATTAGGTGTGATGAAAAATTTCAGGTCTCGTATATAATAATAACTTCCGTCTCCTCCCTTGGCTTGAAACCCTAGCTTCTTTGGAAGCAAGTTATCATAAAACAGTTAGTTCTTAAACATGATGAAGAAAAGCAGAAACATACTACACCTTCCCGAGGATTTGGTAGTAGAGATACTCTCTAGGGTTCCAGCGGTGTCGTTGGCACGATTACGATCTACATCCAAAGCATGGAACGTTCTTATCAAAGATGGGAGACTTGCTACTGAACACTATGGTAATGCACCAAAGCACTCTCTGATTATCATGTTGATTGCTTTTAGGGTTTATTTGGTGAGCGTCGATCTTCATCAAGTTTACAACAACAAGGTAAAAGTAGCAAGTCAATTTAGCCTAAAAGATCCTCTTTATGATTCTTTTAAAGAAGTTGATATATGCAACATCTTTCATTGCGACGGCTTATTGCTATGCACTACCGTAGACAATAGACTAGTAGTTTGGAATCCGTGTTCGGGTGAAGTTAAGTGGATCCAACCAAGACGTTCTAACGAGAGATTTACTATCTTTGCTCTCAGTAAATCCTCAAGCAACAAGTACAAAATCTTGAGGATAAATCAAACTCTTGAATATGGTGTTACTAGCTGGAAAATATTACTTGACTGGGAAATCTATGATTTTACCATTAATTCGTGGAGAGTTGTTGGCAAGTTAACTAACAGCTGGTTCATACCAAATATGAATGAACGTGGCACGTCTGTGAATGGAAATGCATATTGGCTTGCTAATTCCAAAGATTTGACAAATATGGATTTTTTACTTGGCTTTGATTTTTCTTCCGAGAGATTTACAAGCGTCTCGCTTCCGTGGGATGATCATCTTCCTTATTATCATCTTATTGCTTTATCAGTGACTAGAGAAGATCAGAAACTTTGTATAATAGCTAGTCAGGTCATGCAGTCATCTAGTAGAGATGTATGGATTGCAACCAAGATTGAGAGTAGTACTGGAGCCGCGTCATGGGCCAAGTTTCTATCACTCCGGTTAGTTAACAAGCCTTTTTACTTTGCTAGTGGGATGAATTTCTTGGTCGAGGAGGAGGACAAAGTTTTAGTGTGTCGCGGTAAAATGGATGGGGTCTCCACCTGTTTCTTACACGTTGTGGGAGAGGATAATAAGTGTATACAAGTGGATCATCATGATCCAGAATCTACATGCTCACTTGTCGTCAGTTATGTTCCAACTTTGGTGCAAATCCAACAAGGTTCATAGTTACGTTCTTGGAGTGAGGCAAAGGGAAATACAATTGAGCTAGTGGCTAGTATTCTATGTATTTAAGACTAATTAAGTTATATCTATTTAAGACTAAGTTATGCGTTATCTATCAAGTATTGTTCAAATTTCTCCGATTCCTAAAACAAGTGATAAGCCTCGCTTTAGTTGTTTTATTGGTTAAAACTTAATAAGTCTTCATGTTTTATATATTTTCTGAGATAAGTCTGTTAATTACGCTTAACAAAGTGATTTTGAGTCCTTTACCAGCTTCTTTTCTTGGATATGTATGTGGGTGGAGACTAAAAGCAAGAATATAAGAGTAGGAGTCTTGTCTATCTCAGGCTAAGCTTCTGTTGGACTTGGGTCTCCCAGATGAAGGCCCAGTTTAGCAGCCCGTTCCGGAATAAAGATCTTTCACTATGGCATGGGCCTCGTGAGGTCGTTCCGGCCCAACACCAGGAACGGAGGAGATCAAGAAAGGAGTTGAGAGGAAGACAAGATGCGTAGCAGGAAGATCTAGTTTCAGTTAGGGTACATTAGAAGTATAAATATGTGTAATCGAATACTCGGTGTATTATCTGTAACCTAATACAACAATCAATAACAACAAGTTCATATTCTCGTACTCATCTCGATATTCTTACGAGCCTAAACTAGAGAAGCTAACCCAAGTTCCTTAGATCTTTAATATGTTCGTGTTAATCAACTTTGGTGGTTTCTTGCACCCACAGCTTCCAGCTTCAGATTCCTCACTAGAATACTGACCATTCAAAGGAAACTATCCGGAGACTTCATTTACTTCAACACTGATCAGAAACTTGGACTCCAGATAGTAAGAATCTTTGGTGAGAATTGCATGTGTGAATGGATACATCAGTCATTAACACATACATCATACATACATGCATAATGTGTTTGTATATAACATAACATATTTTGAAATTCTCACGACGAATAAGTAACTGTAATTTTGACCGACAATTATAACCCAAAATAGGATTATGCATGCTAGAGTAAAACCTCCATAAATTAATACTCGATAAATTCATAATCTCTATAAATTAATAAATTTCTCCCTTCCCAAGTTAAATAAGTATAATTTTGACACAATTCGATAAAATGATAAGATAATGATATTTTTTGAAAACAGTTTGTAAATATATATGGTACCAATAAAACTATAGATTAATAATTATATAAAATTATTAATATATATTATCTATATACATGAAACTTATTTAGTGAAATATGACTATTGTGTTGTTATTTATTCATAAATTTAGATTATTTTTTTGTTAAAATTCAGTTTTAATAGATTTCATGTACCAAAATTTTATAGTGTTTTGTTCAATGCACGATGATTTTTTTTTTGTAATTGATTCTAATTTTGATGTTTATATTTTTTAAAGATTAACAAATTAGGAAAATCGCTCTATAATTAATAATTCTTAATTTCAATAAATTAATAAAATTTTTCACATGCTCGACATAATTAGTGTATAAAGGTTTTACTATGATTTATTTTTTAATGATAATTTCTAGTTTGTGATTGGTAAGAAGTCATTTAAAATCTTAGTTTGTGATTTGTAAAAAGTCTTATAAAAATCTCAATATATCTGAGGATTGTTAATGAAAAATCTAAGATGGTTAATGAATTCAATATATATGTTATTGGTTTATGATTTTATATACTTTTCTTCACAAGATAAAGTCATGGAAAGTTTCATTATAATAGAGAGATTTTTAGGTAACTTTACAAGATTATAGAAAAACTTAAGTAACAAGATTACAGAAAAATCTCTAGCAATCTTTTAAAATATTTCACTGATTCACACTTTCAATGATTTTATTGAAAAAATATTTATAAAGTAGAACCATAAGTATATTATTAGGTCTCATAATTTCATCTCCTCCTTCTCTTGCATAAACTATAATTTCTTTGGAAGAGCAGTCAATTTTTTAAAGATGATGAACATGAGAAGTAACAAACGAGATGATCTGCCCGAAGATTTGGTAGTGGAGATACTCTCTAGGGTTCCAGTGGTGTCTATGTTACGATTACGAGCTACAACCAAAACATGGAACGTTCTGATCAAAGATGGGAGGGTTGGTAAGAAACACTATGATAATAATGCACCAAGACGACCAAGGCACTCTCTTATTATCATGTTGATTGCTTTTAGGGTTTATTTGGTGCGCGTCAATCTTAATCAAGATTACAACAACAAGGTAAAGATAATAAGTCAATTTAGTCTAAAAGATCCAGTTTATAATTCTTTAAAAGAAGTTGATATTCGCAACATCTTTCATTGCGACGGCTTATTGCTATGCGCTACCAAATACAATAGACTAGTTGTTTGGAATCCGTGTTCGGTTGAAACTAAGTGGATCAAACCAAGTCGTTTCTACAAGGACTCGGATATCTATGCTCTCGGTAAATCCTCATGCAACAAGTACAAGGTCTTGAGGATAAATCAGGATGGTTTTACTAGCCGGTCAATATTACTTGAATGCGAAATATATGACTTTATCTCGAATTCATGGAGAATTGTTGGCAAGACTCGCAGCTGGTCGATACGAGAGTGGAAGAGCTGTGGTATATCTGTGAATGGAAATACATACTGGCTTGCTAATTCCACTAAAGACGACACAAGAAGGGATTTTTTACTTGGCTTTGATTTTTCGACCGAGAGATTTACAAGCGTCTCTCTTCCGGTTGATCATCGTATGTACTATAAACTTATCGCTTTATCAGTGACTAGAGAAGATCAAAAACTTTGTATGTTAGCTAGTTGGTCCAATGAGACATCAATTAGTGATGTATGGATTGCAACCAAGATTGAGAGTAGTACTGGAGCCGCGTCATGGGCCAAATTTCTATCAATCCGGTTGGTTGACAAGCCTTTTTGCTTTACTATTCGGACGAATGTCTTGGTCGACAAGGAGAACAAAGTTTTAGTGTGTCGCGGTAAACATGGAGTCTCCAACTATTTCTTACACGTTGTGGGAGAGGATAACAAGTGTATACAAGTGGATCATCATGATCCAAAATCTACATGCTCACTTCTCGTCAATTATGTTCCAAGTTTGGTTCAAATCAACCAAAGTTTATAGTTCTTGCAGTGAGGCAAATAGGAATTAGTAGCTAGGAATATAATCAATCTATGATTGTTACACTAGGGCCATCTTCGGCATTTTATATCCTAAGTTATGAATTATATATCCATCAAGTCTTAGATATAGATTTGATTGTGAAAGAAATTGCCATATATGTTATGAATAATTATAAATATTATATGGATGTCCATTGTAGACCCATTAGGTTAAATGATGTCTAGCCTAAACTCTAATATTGTATCCTATATGTATATGTTACATAGATTAATAACAAGAGAACAATTCCCTAAACCATTTTGTTCTTAATAATATTACACTCTTTTTTATTTTAGTGTTGGTGAAAAGGCTTTATTAGAGAAAAAATGTCCACTCGTTTTTTATGTGACACAATTACCTTCCGAGGCGTCTTCCTCGATGGTTAGTTATATTCCAACTTTGGTTCAAATCCAACAAGGTTTATATATAGTTTTTGGAGTAAAGCAAAAGGACTAGTAGTTAGTAATCTGTGATTTTAAGACAAAGTTATGCATTATCTATCTTAGTATTCTTTAAATCTCTGTGATTACTAAAACAAGTGATAAGCCTTGTTTTAGTTGTTTTTTTGGATAAAACTTAATAAGTCATCATGTTTTATATATTTTCTGAGATAAGGTTAACAAAGAGATTTATTTATTTTTGTTCTATATTACGTTTATTTCGGATTCCATGATAGACCACAGGATTATCAATTACACATGATAACTAAATAAAATATACCATTCAAAGTATATTTAAGATCTCCTCCTTTTATGAAAATTTTAAATACGTTTATTTCTTTTTTATTTCTGTATTACGTTTTCTTTTTTGTTCTCTTTTAGGTCTCATAACTTTCATCTCCTCCTTGTCTTGCAACCCTATAATTTTCTTTGGAAGCAGTCAGTTTTTAAAGATGATAAAGGAGAGAAGAATCACACGAGATGATCTGCCCGAGGATTTGGTAGTGGAGATACTCTCTAGGATTCCAGTGGTGTCTTTGGTACGATTACGAGCTACATCCAAAGCATGGAACGTTCTGATCAAAGATGGGAGGGTTGCTAAGAAACAATATGATAATAATGAACCAAGACGACCAAGGCACTCTCTAATTATCATGTTGATTGCTTTTAGGGTTTATTTGGTGAACGTCGATCTTCATCAAGTTTACAACAACAAGGTAAAGATAATAAGTCAATTTAGCCTGAAAGATCCAACTTATAATTCTTTAAAAGAAGTTGATATATGCAACATCTTTCATTGCGACGGCTTATTGCTATGCACTACCAAATACAGTAGACTAGTTGTTTGGAATCCGTGTTCGGGAGAAACTAAGTTGATCAAACCAAGTCGTTTCTACGAGTCGGATATCTATGCTCTCGGTAAATCCTCATGCAACAAGTACAAGGTCTTGAGGATAAATCAAGATTATTTTACTAGCCGGTCAGTATTAGTTGAATGCGAAATATATGACTTTACCTCTAATTCGTGGAGAGTTGTTGGCAAGACTAGCAGATGGTTTATACGTGACTCGAAAGGCTGTGGTACGTCTGTGAATGGAAATACATACTGGCTTGCTAATTCCTCTAAAGACACAAATAGGGATTTTTTACTTGGCTTTGATTTTTCGACCGAGAGATTTACAAGCGTCTCTCTTCCTGGTGATCATCGTCTGTATGATCGTCTTATCGCTTTATCAGTGACTAGAGAAGATCAAAAACTTTGTATGTTAGCAATTCAGGCGAGGTGGCCAACCATTGGTGATGTATGGATTGCAACCAAGATTGAGAGTAGTACTGGAACTGCGTCATGGGCCAAGTTTCTATCACTCGATTTGATTGGCAAGCCTGTTTCCTTTATTAGTGTGATAAATTTCTTGTTGGACAAGAAGGACAAAGTTTTAGTGTGTCGCGGTAAACATAGAGCCTCCACCTATTTCTTATACGTTGTGGGAGAGGATAATAAGTGTATACAAGTGGATCATCATGATCCAAAATCTACATGCTTACTTGTCGTCAATTATGTTCCAACTTTGGTTCAAATCAACCAAAGTTTATAGTTCTTGCAGTGAGGCAATTAGTAGCTAGGAATCTATTATTGTTGCACTAGGGCCGTCTTAGGCATTTTGTATCCTATATATATATGTTACATAGATTAATAACAAGAGAACAATTCCCTAAACCATTTTGTTCTTAATAATATTTCACTCTTTTTTTCTTTTTGTGTTGGTGAAAAAAATGTCCACTCGTTTCTTTATGTGACACTTACCTTCCGAGACGTCTTGCTCGATCGTGCGAGTGCATAGAGAAAGGTAATGAGTCGAGATAAGGTTCATCGGATCGGTGGTGTAGAACACTCATCGTGGTACAAGTTCCAACAACGATTTAATAAGACCTAATACATATTTATAGCCGAAGTCACAAAATATATATATGTATGATGTATGTGTCTAGACTTAATTCATTACAGAAAATTCTACTATTAGTTAGACATCAATGGCTCCGGAACCATGATGTTGTTGTTTATCTCTAGGGACTTGAGAATATTACAGAAGAATTCTTGACTATCTCAGCTTAGTTTCCAGCTTCAGAGAAGCTTTTGAATGAGAGTCTACACACTTCACATTGTAGCTTCTCGCACCAAGCAACTCTCTAATGATCATGTTGATTGCTTTTAGAGCTTATTTGGTGAGCGTTGATCTCCATTACATTCACAACAACAAGGTAAATATAACAAAACAAGTCACTTGAAGCATAAGATCTTCTTTTTTAATTCTTCAAAAGCAGTAGATCGATATATGCAAAGTAATTCATTACCTCGGCCTATTGCTATGCACCACCATAGACAATATACAATACTTACTGGCTAGCTTGCTTCTAGTCAAGAGAAGACAAGTGGACATCTTTCAGAGATTTGCAAGTGTCTCTTTCTCTACCTGCCGGTGTTCATCTTTCTTATCTCTCTTTATAATCAGTGACTAGAGAATATCATAAACTTTGTATCTTAGGGGCATGCAGAGCGATACACTGAGATACACGATATGGCTTGCAACTAAGATTATATAAGGATTTTTCTTCACAAATCTTAAGGTAAGATTTATGCAAGAACCTTGCAATAAGGATGGCCTGGAAGAAAATAATGGGAATATGAAGAGTTGAGCATCTTTCAAATCTAAAGCTTCTTACAAAACTTCTTTGTATCTTGATCTGATTTTTTCTTCAAGGTTTTTTCAACAAATATATATATATATATTAAAATGCAATTGTAAATTTTTTTGATAGCCAAAAAAGTAAAAATTATTATTATTTGGTCAGCATATTTTAAAATTTAAGACTTACCTATTTAGGTGTGATGAAATATTTTGGCCTCATAACTCTCATCTCGCCTCCTGCTCTTGCAGCCCTAGTTTCTTTGGAAGCAAGTTATCATAAAAAAAGTCAGTTTTGAAGATGAAGAGAATAAGCATAGTGGATCTCCCCGAGGATTTGGTAGTTGAAATCATCTCTAGGGTTCCAGCGTTATCTTTGGTAGGACTGCGATCTACATGCAAAAAATCAAACGCTCTGATCAATGATGAGAGCCTTGCTAAGAAACACTATACTAATGCACCAAGGCAGTCTCTGATCATCATGTTGATTGCTTCTAGGGTTTATTTGGTAAGCGTCGATCTTCATAAAATTGACAACAACAAGGTAAAGATAACAACTCAATTTAGCTTAAAAGATCCTCTTTATGATTCTTTTAAAGAAGTTGATATACGCAACATCTTTCATTGCGACGGCTTATTGCTATGCACAACTCGAGACAATAGACTGGTCGTTTGGAATCCGTGTTTACGCGAAACTAAGTGGATTCGACCAAGAAGCTTTTACTACAAAACATTTGATATCTTTGCTCTCGGTAAATCCTCATGCAACAAGTACAAAATCTTGAGGATGGATCAATTTAATCATACTTGCCCTGTATTTCTAGATTACGAAATCTATGACTTTACCTCTAATTTGTGGAGAGTTGGTGGTAAGATCACTAGCGAATGGTTCATACCACGGTGGTCGGACCGCGGCATGTATGTGAATGGGAACACTTACTGGCTTGCTTCTACTAAAGACATTATGAGTGATATATTCTTACTTGGTTTTGACTTTTCAACAGAGAAATTTACAAAGGTGTCTCTTCCGGGTGATCAACTTTCTTATCATGTAGTTTCTTTATCAGTTACTAGAGAAGATCCAAAAATTTGTATGATAGCAAGAAGGAGCATCATTCAGGTACACGATGTAGATGTATGGATTGCAACTAAGATTGAGAGTAACGGAGCCGCGTCATGGAGCAAGTTCCTATCAATTGATTTAGCTAATTGCTGCAAGCTTTCTTGCTTTGGTACTGGGATGAATGTCTTGGTCGACCAAGAGAACAAAGTTTTGGTGTGTCCCGGTAAAAATGGGATGTCCAAATTTTTCGTACACGTTGTGGGAGAGGACAAATGTATACAAGTAGATCATCATGATGCTAAATCTATATGCTCACTTGTCATCAGTTATGTTCCAACTTTGGTTCAAATCCAACAAGGTTCATAGTTACGTTCTTGGAGTGAGGCAAAGGGAACTAAGGAAGTACAAGAAGCTAGCTAGTAATCTCATATGATTGTCACACTAAGTAATGTATTATTCAAATCTCTACAAGTAATAAGCCTTGATTTGGTTGTTTTATTTGTTATAATTTATAATATTTATTTCCTTAATTAACCATCCTTTTGTTTGGAATAATATATACATATGTATGTGTGGACTTTAATACAATAACATGAACTTTTATTATTAGACATCAGTGGCTCCTTGGTTGTGATCTCTAAGGAAAGATCATAGTATGAGTTTTTCCTGAGTTTCCAGCTTCAGTTTCCTCACTGGAGTGAATCTGATACGTTTCAGAGCTAAAGCTAGTGCTGCATCCAGAGACTTCAGTACTTAAAGACTGATCAGAAACTTGGACTCCAGAAAGTAAGAATCTTTGGTGAGAATTACAAGTGTGAATGGCTACATCACAGTCATTGCACAGTAATGCTCTGTCCTCTAAGCAGAAGAAGTACCCTTTTCTCTCCTACAAACATATATGTTTTCTTGAGAACATTACTTAAAGAACTAAGCAAGAGTCAAAAGAGAAAACAGTATGGAACCTGGCAGATATCACATAGAGGAGGAGCTCCAGAGCTTGTAGTGGCCGAGACTGCTGCATCTTTTTGTAAGGCGACTCGGTGATGTCTCTGGAAAATTTTGTTAGCTTCATGAACTTTAATGTCACATGGCTTGCAAAGAACAGCTTCATCTGAACAACAAAGTACTTCTGCTTCAGCCTTCTCACACACTTCACATTGTATCTTCATCCTTCAAATTTTGGCAAAACAGAGCAAACGTGTCTTAATATTAATAAGAAGTAGGACAAGAAGTGAATCTAAGGCAAGAGGAATAAGAAAGAACAAGATTGAATAGGTTCACATGTTTGGGTTTAGGCCAACTTTGGGTGGCATTTAAATCAAATAAATGTTTTCTCCTACCAAAATCTTCATGACAAGATCTTTTTCAGAAGCTTGTGTAGTTTTTTTACTTCCTTTTGAAACATAAATTGGCAGACATAACGACAAGTTTATCTTAAGACACAAGCATGGCAAGCCAAAAATAATGGGAGGACCACAATACACATAAAGACTGTGGATTAAAAGTAACTAGCCATAGGGCAATAGAGGTCAAAAACTCTAAAGCATGGCACGTTCCCACTCTTACCCATCCCTTTCCCATGCAGCAGCCAAAACTCATCAGCATTCTCATCTTTGGGTTTATCAAAAAACAGTTTTGGTCTCAATTACAGTGATGGGCCAATAATATATAGGCCTGCATGGATATAAAGTATAATACATGGGCTAGTCCAAAGTTAACTTCTGTTTCGGCTCCACTATAGTTTTACATGAAGTCTCTGGAACATGAGAGAAGCACTCAAAGACACGTTCAACGTGTAATAACATAATTAGTAACCATGTCACACAGACAAAATGCTAGAACAATCTCAATATATCTGCAAAACTCTACCAAGATATTTCAAGAAACTTCTTCGTTCTTCATAGAATGTGTATATATAAACCAGGAGGATTGAGACTTAACTTCATAGAAAACAACAAGAAAGTGAATTAAAACAAGCCTACAAAAACGTTGGTTACAACCTTCTACGAAAAAGCCAAATCACTAACCATGATGAAGCACTTGCTAAGCCTCTTCATAGGAGCTTTGTTACTTATAAACATCAAAACAAGTGAAGGGTCTTTCTCCTCTGCACTTGAAACTACAACAGGAAGCTTGCTATCTGATCTCTGGCTAGACCGGTTCCCCGATCCATTCAAGATCTTGGAGAGAATCCCATTAGAACTGGAGAGGGACACGAGTGTGGCTCTGTCTCCAACCAGAGTGGACTGGAAAGAAACAGCAGAAGGGCATGAGATAATGCTCGATGTCCCCGGTTTAAAAAAGGATGAAGTGAAGATAGAAGTGGAAGAGAACCGAGTTTTGCGAGTGAGTGGAGAGAGGAAAAGAGAAGAAGAGAAGAACGGAGATCAGTGGCATAGAGTGGAGAGATCATATGGTAAGTTCTGGAGACAGTTTAAGCTACCTGATAATGTTGATATGGAATCAGTCAAGGCCAAGCTTGAGAACGGTGTCCTCACTATTAACCTCACTAAGCTATCCCCTGATCAAGTCAAGGGTCCAAGAGTTGTTAACATTGCAGCTGAAGAGGACCAAACTGCAAAGATAAGCTCTTCTGAATCCAAAGAACTGTGATTGTGTAAACTATATACTTATAAATCCAAGAGTTTTGAGTTTCATATTGTGTGAGCTAAAGATGGAGTGTTATATTTTGTAACCTATCTACCAAAATCTGTGTAACCTTTTTCTATGTAATAAAATTTTCAAGTCTTTATTTTTTTACAGAACATCATTTATATGAAATGTAATGTTCAAGAAAATGTAACTTCAGATTCCAAACTAATAAAGATCAAGTAATGTGGATTTGTTTTGGAGTCGATTTTGGTAGAAACTTGAAACTAGATTTTATTATTCAGATAACAGAGAAAATACTCTGACAAAAACCAGGAAAGTGACCAGAACCAATACAAAAAGTGAAGAAACAGAACACAAAGAGTTGGAACTATTTGGACTTAGATTTCATGAGCTGCTGAGCATCAGATGGAGTTGGAAGTGCAGGAATAGCTCCTTTCTGAGTTGTACACACAGCTCCACAAGCATTTGCAAAAGCAAGAGCTTCCTTAAGCTTCCCTTCATCCTGCAACATTCACACATTACTCAATATATCAATATGCCTAATCGAAAAACGTCATCTAAATGTTTGCGGTTATACATACATTGAGTATGGAGCCATCTTTTCCAAGTGAAACAAGAAATGAACCAACAAAAGAGTCACCAGCTCCAGTTGTATCAATTGCTTTCACAGCGTATCCAGGAATTCTCCCTTTGAACTTCTGCAAATTTTGTCAGTCAAAACGTTGTTTAGATCATTCTTAAAAGTTGCAATCATATCTAAATCTGATTTATGTTTTGTTACCTTTGTGTAGTATCTGCAGCCTTTCTCTCCATCAGTTACAATAAGCAGCTTGAGCTTATCATGCATGAGAGACAAAACAACATCATCCTTCTCTGCATCTCCACCAGTAAGGAAAGTTACCTCATCATCACTCACCTAAACACAACACACTCAACACTAAGATCAACCAAAACAGAACATATAAAACGAGTTCTGTTCTACAAACATATACCTTGATAATATCAGCCTCATTCCAAATACTTTTGATGCCCTCTATGGCAGCCTCAGAGGAAGGCCAAAGAGGCAACCGAACATTCGGGTCATAAGACAGCAAAACTCCTGCATCTTTTGCAGTTTTCATAGCAGCCATGTGAGCAGTTCTACATGGCTCAGAGATCAAGCTAATAGAACCATAGTGAAAAATCTTGGCTTTCTTGATAAGATCTTTGTTGAGTTCAGATTCTTTCAAGAGCATGTCAGCACTCGGGTTCCTGTAAAACATGAACTCTCTCTCACCATCTTTTTTCAATGTCACAAAGGCCAACGCAGTTCTTGCATTGGTGTCGAAACAAACACCTTCACTATTCACACCATTCTTCTTCAATATGTTCACCAACATGTGTCCAAACTCATCATCACCAACCTGTAAAAACATCACACATCACTCTACAGGCTCTATGTAATAGATTGTAACATAAGAAAAAATATACAAACCTTGCCGATGAAAGCAGATTTGCCACCGAGTTTGGAGATAGCACAAGCAACATTAGCAGGAGCACCACCAGGGGCTTTGAGGAAACCTGTGGACTCAGCTAAAGAAACACCAGAAGTGTCAGGGACAAAGTCGATAAGCATTTCACCAAAGGAAACAATCAATGGAGAAGCCATCTTCAGAGGAAATAAAAATGCAAACAAAACAAGAAATGTTAACATACAAAAGAAACAAGAAACTTCTCTTTATAATTAACCTCGAGAATGTGTAACAGAAAAGCTTGGAAAGTGGGATAAAGACTTAACAAAATCCCTGATTTGTAGCAAAACTCAGTCCAAACTTTGACTGTAATAAAAACCCTTCAATCTATCTTAACATTTTTGAAATACATTTTGTACTAAAATCTAATTTAGGTTATAACCTTTTATTTTGTAATATTTGCATAATCAAACCCTTGCCATTTGAATAAATAACAAAATTTAAAGTAAATTTTGTAATTAAATCACAATCAAATCTCAAAACTGGAAATAAATATTGATTAAAACAAAAAAATTTCCTAAAATATCTCTCTAATAATTTGAATCTCTCTCCAATATATTTATATAATCTTATTTATTTTCCATTTATATTATTACATAAAAAATATTTATAATAAAAATACAAATTTTGAAAACGGACGTATATAACTCAATTGATAAAGGGAAAATGTTTATATAAGAGTTCAAAACCATCATAAATATGACTAATATGTTTCCAACTACAAATGAGCATGAAATTTGGTTTCTTAGGCATCCAAATTAAAAAAATTATTCTGTTTAATCCGGTTATATATTTAAGAAAATTAAATTTTTAAAAAGTTTCAAAATATTATAAATTTTAATTTCTTAGAAAGGTTTAAAATATTATGGAAACTCTTACTAAATATTCTAACATTTAATTGAAAGTATTATTAATATTTTAACTCTAATTTTTTTTAAAATATAATAATATTGTCGATAAATATGATTGTACGGATTTGAGTTTACATAAATAGGATTATATTTTTCTTACGGGTTGCCTATGATAAAATATTTTTACGGGTTAAGTTAAAATATAATTTGTTTTACAACAAAATTATTTCGTGGTGTACTGCGGGTTGACCACATATATCTATAAATCTACTTATAATACAAATTTATAAAGTATGTAAAATTAAATAAAATAAACACGTATAAAACTAGACTATATAAATCAAATACAAAAATGACCAATCAAACAAATATATTAAATTATGGACTCGTGGTGTACCACGGGGTAAATCCTAGTTTATTATGTAACACTAACTCAGTTCTAAAGAAGTAACTAAAGGATTCAATAAATCGTGGGTTTGGTAACACACAACGTACCAAGTTGTTACAGAAGTTTTTATTATCTCAAAGTACTGTATTAACACACTCCTCACTATCTATATATATAAAGTTAGCTTTTTCTCTCTTCTCCTTAAGCCACATCATCATCCTAATCATCATCCACCTCATTTTATTATTTCATTTTTAAAATTAATTATATCATTTTATCATATAATTTTAAGATTTAGACCTATGTAAATAAGTTTTTCAAAAAGGAATATGAAAAGTTTTTTCTTATATTATACATTATAAAACTAAAAAAGATAATTGATTACAAAAATAAAAAAAAACTTACTAATTATCGATTATACTAACAAATATATAAATAATAGATTATAGTTTTTAAGTGTTTCAAATATATATATATATCAGTTAAAAATAATATGACACAAAATTCGATTATATTTACACAATTTAAACCTAAATTATAATGAGATTTAACGGGAATAGAACAAAAAGTAAGAAATTTTGAGTATATAAATCTATCTAATTTATGTCTCACAAAATTTTCCAACATAAATGAGATAGGTATGAACGAAACATGAATTATCATTTTAAAATAACGTATAAAAAGGTAAAAAAACCAAAAAATTATTTAAAGGTTTCCAATATGAATTTAACTAATATTTTCCAATACAACACATATGTTAAACGAATAAACAAAATAAAAAGTTAACTATATTTTATAAAAATTAAAAATTTAAATAAATAAAATATTAAATGAAATAAACCAAATATAAAGTAAATTATACTAATATGTTAAATTTAAAAATTGTTCCACATGAAAAAACATAAAATATATAAAACATAAAATCAGAAACAAAAATATAATAGTATAAAAATGATCATAACGAGATATAAATTATGTCAAATCCAAAAAAAAATGTAAAACAAAAAAAACTTATGACAATATATAAAGAGATAATGTAAACAATAAAAAATACAACAATCCACCCGAAACCCACAAATCATTTTCAAATTTCGGGCCAACATATTAAAAAGGCCCACAATATTAACATATATATCTATATATGGTAAAAACCCTAATATCACATGTTTATGAGTTTCTCAATGATTCTTCACCGCACTTCCGTTTATACTCACACTTCGCCTTATACAATACACACTTAATTTCTCAACAACTAATAAAGCTAAAACTCAATACGTTTTCTATACAAACATAATCTAAGTAAAAAAGAAAATATGGTATAGTGAAAAATTTAACTAGAAAATAAAATACGAATCAATTACTTATAAACAATGTAATAAACTCCCGCGCGTAGCGCGAGCAACCGACTAGTATACAATATTTCTAAGGGTTTAAACCCAAAAGAGCCATTATGAAAACTAGTGTAGGTTGGAACCGATTACAAACGAAACTTGATGGTGAAGCTGAGAGGTGGAACGAACGTAACGTTGCGAACGCTACAAGGTTTCTCAAACGCTTCACCAAAACCTTGGATTTCAACACGTTGGAGAGTGTTCCTCTCGGGATTGAAGTAGAAAACATAATACGGTTGTTTAGCTGTATACTTGCGCATCGAAAACACTATCTCACCCGAAGCGGTCGCTCCAGCGATGGAAACTTGGTGACGGAAGAACTTATCATCGGTCCAAGTGTAGGCATATTTCGACCATTCCTGTTTCTCAACATCCTCTAGAACCCACAAATGCAACTCATTAACAGGATCAACATCGAGCTTATTCTCCCAATAAGTGTACACATCAAGCTCCAAATGCATATCATCATCCCCATAAAGGTCAACATCATCCTCCCAATAAACCACAGCTAATTTCCCCTTGTAGTTTAACAACCGACAAAACCTTTCTATGTAGACAAAAGTGAATTTTTCAGACCGAACATCAAAACAAACGATCACATAATCATCATACGTTACATTCTCAGATTCGTCTCTACCTAAGTAATACAAAACACCATTGATGCATACCCCATCACTGTTAATATCATGTCGTAAGGGACATTTTATCTTTCTCCACCTCATATTCCCATCTCTAAATGTAAGAACTCTATGATGACCCGGACCAGATGGGTAAGCCATGAACAATGCCTTGTATTGCTTACCAATCGGATCAAACCCGAAAAAGCTATACGCCTTTCGGTAACTATATCGAAAAGGCAAAACTGCATACCGTCCTGTGCTAGGGTTGCATATCACAGGTCTCCCTTGGTATCGATTACCATGGAAATAGATCAAGCCAGAAACATAGCCACATGAAAAATATTTTAGGTTAGTATGATGATTGATCATTAAATCGTCTGGACACAACTTCGCATGATACTCGGCGGCTGCTACAAAAGCCGAAGACGATTTCTCGTATGAATTCTGAAACTGAGGCAACGAGAAGAACCTCCACACATTGATGCCCATCTCTACGTGGTCGTTGCCGTTCTCTGCAATGGCGAATAAGAGGCATGGCCTAGAGGGCCTGGTCAGGAACAATTCCTTGAAATATGGACTACCTAACAATGATGCCCATTGCTTCGACACGCAGTGACACCTAGCAACTGACTTTTCAGGCAATCTCGACAATATATCTAAGAGGAGATCACTTGGTATGGGAGATGATGAACTCATGATGGCACCTATGTAACGAAGAAAGAGAAATATATGTTTTGTATATCAAATAAGATCTGGAGGCTAGAGAAACCAGTTGACAAAAGACCTAGAGACATGTAGCTATATATATACTTCGTGAGATGAGACCTATATTTGCGTTTTCCGATTTTAGTCGGTTAAGACAAACAAAATTGGGCTTAGTTAACGTCCAAGTGGGCTGACAAAGGATATATTTATTTGTTTAATAGACTGTTCATCTAATTTTGTTAAAACCCATTTATTAAACGGACATAAACGTGTTTGTCCATTTATGTCCGACAAAATTTATAACGGACACGAACATTAAACGGGCTCAAAATTTTGTGAAGGCCCGTTTATGTCCAACGGACAACTGTCCATAATAACATTCCTAGAATAAACCCATTGATCCCACAATTTATACTGTATATGTTAGCGGCAAAAATATGATTCCTTTGGCAAGAAAAAGAAAAGAGTCTTGGCATTGAAGAAATAAACGTGTGACTTTAATTCCATGGCAAGGCAACTTAAGTTTCATGTTTTTTTTTTTTTGCTTTCACAACCATGTTAGATCCTCACATAAGTCACATTTAAGGTGTTAATTGGTTTTTCACTACCACGGTTGTTAGCCGTTGATACCAATCATACAAACCAATGGTTTTCTTGGTTTCTCGTTTGTGTAAACTTGAACGTCGACACTATGAGTGCTAGATTGAGAATGACGTTTTTGCTCTTCGTATATTTTTTAAACTTGTGTTTGTCCAAATTTTTGTTGGAGGATTTCAAAACTAACAAAATATAGATGAACTACAAATGTATAACATTTTTGCTAAATTAACTAAGAAACTAAAAAAATAATATTTACAATTAGTAAACTAACTATAGTCACTTGGTTAGCATAATGACGAGATTGATTTTTTTTTTTTTAATCGAGTGGTGGTAGAGATAGTCACTTGGTCTGCAATGGAGGTGGCCGGTGGTTACCACAGCGGAAGTGGCCAGTTATGGTGTGGGGTGGTGGTACCAAATTAATTTGTTCAAAAAAAAAAAAAACTTGGTCATGCCAAATTTATGCGGATGAGCATATATACCAGAAATATATGTTTTCAATGAATTTAGATTAAGACGATTTGATTTCAACTCCAAATTAGACACAAATTATTTTTTTTAATAAATTTCTATATCATTGTGATAATTTAAAAGTTTGATACAAGTCTGTCTGTATATGAATTTCTTTTAGTTTGGTTTGGTTTACTTTTTTTTTTTCACCCCTAATCCAATGAATGTGAGTTTTTCTATTTTTGTTGCTCCTTCGCTGTGATCGAATAAGAATGGATAAGAGGCTCGTGGGATTGACGTGAGAGGGGTAGGGGTAGCTATACTTCTGGGAGCGAACTCCATGCGAATATGAAGCGCATGGATACAAGTTATGACTTGGAATGAAAGACAGTTCCGAATAAGTTTTGTATGTCAAATCATAATTTTTATTAAGTTGACAACAAAAATATATTTTAAATCTATTATATCTTCTTATATATTAAAAGAAAAGTACAATTTGATATTGCTAATAATTGGCCAAAATTACCTCTCAATTAATGAAAAAGGAGAACATTTATTGATAAATTAGAAAGGGCCTAAATTTTTTTGTCCACTAACATGGCCAGAATTTGTCGAGCCCAATATGAAAATATTAAATGGGCCTAATTGAACCCGCATTAGACATTAGTAGATTATCACTACTCACTAGCACCAAAATCTCGGTCACCGAGGGAGAGGAGAGGAGCTGAGAAGCAGCCCTGGGCAAAATATTCGTTAGATTCGCTTCGATTCGATATTCGTTTCGATTCGATTCGAAAAATTCAAATATCTATAAGATATTGAACTGAAGCAAATATGAAAATGTAGTATTCGTAAAAACCGAAGCAAATAACAAATATTGATTTTATTAGTGCCGAATATCCGCTTCGCTTCGTATATTTATATATATGTATTAATATAAATCATTTTATAATATATATATATAATATGTGTATTTATAGATTTGGGTATATATCTTATAGGTTTATTATTCAAATTATTATATTTTGGTCCGTTGGTTTTTTTGCTAAATGTTGTTCTTAAGCAAATAAAACTTTATTAGAAAAATCAATATTAAAAATAAAATGTGAGAATTCAATGGACGGTGGTTACATTTTCTTCTTATTTTGAAAACATGTCAAACAAGAACCTCTAATATCTCATATTTTGCATTTTATATTTGTGTACTATATGTTTTTAGTTTTTTAAAAAATTTAGATGGGTCGAAGCAAAACGAAGCAACTAATTCGCAAATATTAGGAAAAATATTTGAATATTCGAAGTTCCGAATACTCGAAAATTTACGAAGCGAAGCAAATAGCAAAATCAACTATTCGGTCGAAGCGAAGCAAATCACAAATATCACAAAAGGAGTGATGAAAAAGATTAGTGACGGTGATTTTTTTTTCTTTTTTTTTTCTTTTGTCTTTTTCTTTTTTCTTTTTTCCTTTTTTTTCTTTTTCCTAAACGTATTTCTGTTAAATGTTCAATAATAATTATATAAAGTTAGATTAATATTTAATTATTTTACCTATGAACTTATAAATTTTAAAATATTTTAATATTAGCTTTTACATTAAAATTATCAGTATTATGATACATAAATTAATTAATATAATACTCCAAAATAATTTTATTTATTGTTAACTAACAAGTATTATGATTTTTCATTTATAAACAACTTAGAAATATTTATACGTGTTGAAATAATATTCACAATTTATATTTATATATTTTTAAAAATATAATTGGGTTGTATACATATTTTTCTGTTTTTTAAACAAGTTCTGATTCTAACTTTGGATATTTTGCTTAGTCGGATCTAGATCAAAAGATGAACATCTTGTTAAACGGGTTGTATATATATATTTTAAAGTCAATATCGACCATCATTGGAATTGGTTTGACTGTAAATGTTTTTCCCCACACCTTTAAGTAAATATGTATCGTGATACTAAATTACACATGTACTGCTGTACAACAAGTTAAATTAAAAAACACTAAAAATAAAATCATTTAATTTGAAACTATATATATTAAGGGATATTTGCACAACTAACCAACAAAATTTCAAAACAACATCTAATTTGTTACTTATATATTAAGTTTATTTCCGTATATTTACTGGACCATTTTTAAATTTAAATATTCATGAAATCAATGTAAATAATTTTAAATTGAACTAGATATAAACATACAAAAATTTTAACATTTTGTGATAAAATATTTTATGGCGGTATGATACGGGTTAAAACTAATACTCAAATCTGCCTAAGAAATGATGTAAAAGACAAAAAATAAATAAAAAATAATACATCATCGAGCTCTATATACTCACTTAATTTTCTACCTCTAAATTAATCATTCAAAATATTTGATAAGGCTAGAAACCAAATCTCCTGCTTTCGCAAACTTTTACACGTGCAACCGCCGCAACTACTTTGTTTAAATTAACCAAACTCTATATTACTATCGTAAAATTATATTTTTATAATAAAATAGTAGTTCAAATAAACTATCGTGCTATAATTTCTATTAATATGAAAATTTTAAATTACAAATATTGTCTTGCGGTGTAACGTGGGTTCAAACCTAGTATAAATATATTTACTAATAACAAAATTGGATCAGAGAAGGGAAAACAAAATTCTCCAAATTCAATTAAAAAAAAAATTATTTTCGTTTCTCTTTCTAATGCATAATCACGATATTGGTAACTCTAATTAAATATTGATCTATGGGACCTAATGATCGAATATGGCAACATTTAAAGAAAAGAAAAATCATAGAACTCTAATAACTTTTGCTCAAGTTTTGGTATTTATATTTAGTTTTGCGCTGAATATTATGTTTATAATTCATTTGCAGTTAACAGTGTTTATAATTCATCGGTTCAACTTGGTTGTGTAGTTGAGATAGTAGAAAATGTCAGCAAGGTTGTAAAAATGGCAATCTTTACACAAAGTATATTTTCGTAATGATAAGTAACTGAATATTTCTTATATTTTAAAGTAATTGAACCTCTTTTAATGTGAGATTAGAAGTCTGATAAAGATTATAATCAAATAGGTGAGGATTCTTTTCTCGTGCAAAATGATGGTTTAGAGTTTCTTCTAAAAGAGGAAGAGAAGATAAGATGGTATCTATATTAATATTTTTAGGTACATTTTGTGTTCTAATTTTTGTTTGGTAAGATTTATATAATTAAACCTTTACCATTTGAATAAATAAAAAGCATTTAAGGTAAATTTTGTAATTAGATCACACAAAAATCAAAAATACATATTTACAATGTTATGCCATTGAAATTTATTATTTATTTTAAAAATTCAAAACCAATATTTATTCTATTTAACAAAATTTCCTAAAATCTCCCTATAGAAATCCAAATTATCATTTTTCAATTTCCTTCTCTCAAATATTTGTTTAATATCTTTATATGATCATCTTTGTTTTTATTTTATGTTATTACATAACACATATGTATAATAAATTAATTTTTTTTTGCATATTTTACAATTTGAAAAAAAATATATATATATATCTTAAAAAATAAAAAAATAGTAAAACAAATTATACCATTGAAAAATCTAGTGATATATATTATTAATAAAAAATAGGATATGTTTGTGAAGAAAGACTTATTGAAAAGAAAAAAAAAAGGATATGTTGATTAAAAAAACATTTCAACTATCTCCAAATGCACCAAGCATAGATTTTTTATAATTCTAGTTTAATTATTGATTATATATTTATATTAAGACAGAATGATTTTATAAGCCTATATTTATAAATAAGAACAAATTTCTTAGAATCTAATAACTTTTTTCTCAAATAATATATATTTTCTTTTATATTATCCAAGTGATTATTACTCATATTCAAACACATTTATTATCCCAAGTGGGCAAAATTGCAAAACAAACAAGATCCAAAATAATCCCACAAACTAGGTGCTCATAGACTCATAGTACCAAATTCCCATTTTTACCCCTTATCCAGTCCTTTTAAAAGGCTAAAACCGTCATTTATCAAATCTAGACAGTAGTAACGAATAAAATCACCGGCCAACGCCTCTGGTTTCAAAACTTCCAATTTCACAAGGCATAGCAAATATTGTTGGCTTCTTCTTCTCCTCTTTAAATAAACACATCAACCCACTGCACTTTCTCTCCAAACATCATCCAGAACAAACAAACAATTCTCAAAAACACAAAAAAAAGTTTCATAAAATCATTCTCTGAAGAAAAAGATGAGTTCTACTAGCAAAGCATGGACTGTTGCAGTAAGCATTGGAGCCGTTGAGGCATTAAAAGACCAACTAGGTCTTTGTCGTTGGAACTATATACACTTGTCTGTGAATCATCATCTCAAGAACAACGTTAGATCTGTTTCTCAAGGGAAAAGGCTTTCGTCTTCTGTCTCTGCTGCTGCTGTTATCTCTTCTGGTGAGATTGAGAAGGTCAAGAAAGCTGAAGAACCGCTTAGAACTGTCATGTACTTGAGCTGTTGCCTGTTGGGGCCCTAACTAAATTTGTGTACAATATATAGTTTTCATACTTCTATATAAATTCATTGAATCAACTTAGAATGGAAATGATCTTGTAAAAGAAACATTACAAGAAATCTAAAAGAAAATCAAGATTTACAATTTTTTTTGCATCAATCAAGCTTATAAGCCAACCATTTGAAGCTACAAAGTGTCAAATGGTTGGATTAAGCACACATAACACAAGTCTAGTCTAGTTGAGCAAGTTTAATATCCAAAAAATTGACACAAGAGATCAAGAAGATCAAGAGGACAAGATAGGTAAGACAGCTTCCTTAGTGTTTCAGATTGGATTACAAAACAGTGAGTCTTGAATTGAGGATGGATGAATAATAAGCCCAAAGATTCAAGTTCAAGCAATGTTCTCACTATCTGCAACACAATGATAACTAGATCCCTTTCCATTATTTACACATTAGAACTGTCACCTAATAACATCTCCAAAAGTTTCAAAACCTGAAACCAGTTATAAGCATAATCCCCATCAACATTGCAATACCATATAAAGGCTTAGTTCAAAGAGAGATACAACAAAACAAACATCAATGTGACTCAGATTCACTACTCTTCTAAGCTATAACGTTTCTTGACAGCTTCAGTTATCTCCCAAACAACTTTCATGTCTTTAGGGAAAACAACCACATCTCCTTTCCCTATCTCAAAGGTCTCATCTTTCTTGTCGTATCCGTCTACATTCACTTTCACCTTCCCTTCTACGAAAAACATCGTCTCTGTCTTCTTAAACTCCCACGGAAACTTGCTTGGAGCTCCTTCCCACCTTAAACAAATGCACATCACAATTCAGTCTAAAATTTGATTTCTTTCTCAGTTTCCTTATGTCTATTTCGAAGAATCAATTAAGCTATTAGCTTACCAAATCTACATGTTCTCAGACACAATTAGACCCTAAATACAGATTCTTGCAGCTATTAGTTCACCAAATGTACACACTAACATGTTCTCATACACAATTAGACCCTAAACACAGATTCTTGAAGCAAGAAATCAAACTGTTCTGACTCTTGACCTAAATACTCAGATTAGATCAACACTTCCAAAGTAACAAGTAAAGAACCTATTGGTTCTGCTTGTTAAAACCCTAGTTCTGTATCAACGCCATTGAAGCAAAGAAACAGAGAGATAAGAGAAAGTTACAGACTTGGGCCTCTAATTCTGTATCAACACAATTAGACCCTAAATACAGATTCTTGCAGCAAGAAATCAAACTGTTCTGAATCCTGACCTAAACACTCAGATTATATCAACACTAACACAAAGTAACAAGTAAAGCTAGTTTGGTTCTGCTTGTTAAACCCTAGTTCTGTAATCAACACCATTGAAGTAAAGAAACAGAGATAGATAAAGAGAAAGTTACAGACTTGGGCCAAGAAGAGACCCCTAGCTGAGCAAGTTTGGCATCAGAAGCTTGACGCAAGATCTTCACTCCATGGATATCAATAGGAAACTCAGAGCCGGAGTAGACAGAGAGGATTGCTTCTTTAAGGTTAAGCCTCGGGATGATCAAGGCAACGCAAACGCAGACTGTAAAGAGAAGCAGAGACAAAGTTTGAAAATGCTTACCCATTTGGATTTTCACAATCTGTGAGTTTAGAATTGATGAAAACGAAGTCAAAGATTCAAGCTTTTTTTTCAAGTGATGGTCTCTTCGAATTCGTTAAAGGTGGAAACTTTACTAAATCTGAGCGTTGAAAGAAGGGTTTACCTACGACTGCGACGAGTTCGGGTAACCAAACCAAACCGAACCTGTTAATTTTTGGTTTGATTTGGTTTGATTCAGGTATAGGAATTTGGTTTAAAATTAACCGACCAAAAAGTGGATTCAATTCGGTTTGGGTTTTGGTTTGGCGACCCGAACAAAATCTCTACAAGCCGATTTTAAACCGAAATCCAAAAAGTCGGTTTGGTTTGATTCGGGACTAAACCCGCAGGGCTATTTTAGGATAAATGAATATTATTTGGGAAATTAAATAGAATTGGAGAAATTGTCTTACTAAAAATAGTTAAAATTATTGGACAATACAAAGTCAAACAACATCTACATTCTTATTTGGAATAAATAATTTGGTTAATCTGTTCATAAAAAAAAACTTTTAGTTTCAAAAGAATACAAAATACTTCTACGCTAAACTAAACTAAAATAAATTGTTACCAGATTTAAATGTAAGCATCGAATACGCATTTTTGTTTTTGTTTTTAAGCTTAATAGTTTCCCAATTTTGTTTTTTTTTTTTGTATATGAACTCCACAATCATCATTTTTGTTTTTGATAAAAATCCTTATCTTCTTTTTTTTTTTTGTATGAAAAAATCCATATCAAATTTTCACATTTTGAGAGTATATGAATTACTGACACATACTATATACAGAAATACCCTTAAATAGCATTAAAATATGTTTTATGGAAAATTATATCACACACTCTACAAATTCTCAAAAATGGCACTAATTAACACAGTTATAATTTTTAGAATTTTTCCTTAAGTTTTGGATTGTCTATTATACACATTTGGAGTATAGTTTTTAAGGGGTATGGTTTATTTTTTAGAGTCTATGATTTAATTTTGATTTATGGTTCTAAATTTCGAAAAATATGAGAGTGTATGCTAAGTTCGGAAGTGATACGTCTACAAAACGAAAATTTTCAATAATGATATCTTTTAAATTTCGACCTTGTAAAAGATATGATTACAATATATAATAGAGATCCAAATTAACTATGAATATCCAAACATATATTGAAAATCCCTTAATATATATATATATATATGATTATTACGGTAATTCAGATTCATCAATCTCTGACTCTCTATAATAATGTTTCTTCACATCTTCAGTAACATCCACAAATACTTTCATGTCTTTAGGAAACACAACCAGATCTCCTGCTTTTAATTCTAAGGCTTCACCTTCTTTGTGATGCTCTTCTATATTCACTTTCAACTTCCCCTTGGCGAAGTACATTGTTTCTGTCTTCTTGAATTGCCATGGAAATTTGCGTGGATTGCTCTCCCTTCTACATAAGTTTGATCAACCAGTTACTTAGTCAAACCGTACATTGTACTAACTAATTCGAGCCAAACATAATGACTAATACGACGACTCGACTAAAGTTGATACGTGTTTCAGTTTAACTAATACGACTCTTGACTTCAAAATCTACTTAGTCTAAATACGTGTTTCAGTTTATTTTCCTTAAAACAAATGAACCAAACCATTCGAGCACGGAGCACATAGGCTTAACATATCTACCATAGAAAAAGAACGTTGATTTTTTTTGAATTTTTTTCTGAAAATAACACAATTGCATATGGGTTCAAGGCAGAATCATTTGATCTATGGATATCTTGTGACTCTTTTAATTTGAAAAGCTGGTCGTATGAATTAGCCCGGGATTTAAGAAATAACCGAACCAAACTGATATTATGGATGTTCGGTTCGGTTTTGGTTATGGCGACTGAACCGATCAGCAAAAAAAAAATTAGAAAACCGAAATATTTCGGTTAATTCGGTTCGGTTATTGGTTAACCGATTTTTTTTTTTGTTTTTTTTCTTTTTACAGATATAACCGAAATCTACCCTTAAAACCAAACTATCCGGAATAACCGAGATAACCCGAAATTATCCTTAAAACCCCGAAAAGCACATATATTTTTTTATATTAAATTTTGGTTAATTTCGGTTTCAGAATTTTAAAACCAAATTAACCGAAAAACTGTACCAAAACTTGTTTCAGATAATTCGGCAAGATTTTCAAAACTCAAAAAAACCGGAAATCCAAAAGAACCGAAATACCCGAAAAAACCGAAGTCGCAGGGCTACTATGAATGATCAGTCAAAAAATTTTTTTGACTCTTTCTGACATACCACAATTTATCGATAATCCATTTGAAAATTATAAATATATTACGTAAATTTCAGTTTTTTCGCCAGATTTTATGGATTTTTCATCCGTCAAATATCCGTAAAGAAATTTCAAACAAATGCATCCATAAATATGTAAATAACCATGAAAATCGACATGTTGTTTTGCGTAATTAAGACCTAACTAGTTGAATGTCAATAGATTACTGCGACAAGAAGTACTCAAGATGTTTGAAACATTAACATACTACACAACTCTCGACCTTTCTGGTAGTAAATTAGAAATTGGTTCCCGCATGTTAATTATGATGCACTTTCAAGTGTTAAAGGATAATAAACACTAGTACAACCCTAGTTCTATAATTATATGCCACTGAAATGTTATAAGAAAACCAAAAGAGTATACGAAAGAAAAACATACAAAGGCCAAGAGGCAACTCCAAGTTCAGCAAGCTTAGCATCCGGCGTCTGTTTAAAGATCTTGATTCCATGAATCTCAGTGGAAACCGCAAGAGCGAAACTCGAATCACGGTTAAGTTCCATACTCCTCAAAACTTTAAACTAAATGAACAAGAAAGATCAAGAGATGAATCTGTGTGTTGTTTAGAGAAAGCATTCACAAAACATGTGTTGATATTTAAAACCATTGCGTGATAATGATAGTACTGTAGCATTTCCAAAACATGAAATAAGAGAGAAAAGTTTGTGGTCTCTAATTTTTGCCTCATGAATAATGCCATTGCCGTCCATACATTTTGGTTGTTGCTAGTACTGATATTTTTTTTGACCCATGTTGAAGATAAAAGGACGAGACCATTCATTGATACTTCCCAACACATGAAAATTTAGGTAAATATAAGATTATATATCACTTTTTGAAACTTGTTTAAAATATGTAAAGTAAAGATATTATAAAATTCTGAAAATGTTATGAATCTTATACTAATTAAACTATATGAAGGACATACAAATAAAAACACGACTAGTCTATTCAATGTGAATTGATTTTTCTTAAGTCCGTAAAACTTAACATATCCTAATTAACGTCCTTGAGAGCGAGTACAAGCATTAAGCACATCATTGAGTTTTGAGAGCGTGTATAAACTAACCATAAGATGATATCAATTTAATTTTTTCTTAACTTAGTTCTTAAAAAAAAGAAGAAAAAACAAAATCTGTCTCACTTTCAAGAACTTTAATTTATTAAATTTTTTATAAATGAGATGTTAAAATCAATATTGCAAAAAATTTTGTTTAAAAAACAAACATAAAAAAGGTAATAAATTATTGAACCTCAACCCCATTTATACATAAACTTAAAAGTTCCGGCTGCATTATTTCGAACATATATTCCATCTTCTTGCGCTCGCCAGAAACATACGTTAGGCTTTCTACCCCCACATACATCATGTATAAACCTTTCTTTTCCGATAAATGCGTCAATCTTTGCATATTGCACAAAATCAGGACCCTGAAAAAATATGATACCGAAAAAGAAATCAAATGAATAATTTATATATAAAACGAGAAAATGTTGAAAAACTTTGTACACTATAAAAAAGTGAAAACAAATAAAAGTAAATTTTGAAAGAAATTACCTTCCATAAATTGCACCATATCAAAGTTTTTGGGAAAACCGTGAGTTTGAGTGACATTTTAACATTGGAGGGAAGAAAATCAATTTTAGTCTCTCGATTACCAGATACACAATTGATCTTTAGTTCTTTTTTACCTCCAAGATGATTCAAAACTTCTATATTATAATTCCTAAATATAAGAATAGAGTTTATCTTCTGGATGGAGATGAAAAATAAGAAGAAGAAACATACTAGAATTTTCCCCATCTTTGTTACTTTATTTTATCGTCCTTACATGATTATGTATATATATACGCACTTTTCACATATGCATGCAAATAAATGCCATATGGGTAAAATAATGATGGTTTGATATCTTTCTCTTTTCCTTAAAATAAACCATATATTCGATTTTTTTGGTCTGACCATATATTCGATATCTATTGATTGGAAATAATCCTATATATACACTATGCGAAATTAGGAAATAAGTTCTTATTGATTTCGATTTTCCTAAGTTCTAAAATATCTCTACTAATCTGATTTCTATTTTCCTAAATCAATTTCGATTTATACTTATACAATCTTTATATTTAACATAATATTCCTAAAATATCTCGAAAATAAATATATATGTTTTCCTTTAAAATTAAAATATCAAATCAGTTGATTCCTTGGAATTTTGACAGTTAGTTTTGGAAAAATATCCATAGTCGCCTTAAATAGTAAACAGAAACTTTCAGTCTTTCACAAAAAAAAGAAAGTAAACAGAAGTTTAAAATATCTTAATCACTGATTTTATTAATATACAATATTGAGAATAACATATTTATTAGTAGTATTCATTGACAATGAGCAATCTTGATTTGCAAAATATTTGTGGAGTTATTATAAGGAATACTAGTGATGGACCCGCACGTACGTGCGGGGTTATTTTTGCAAAACTACGATTTTTTTTATGTAGATACGATTTTGGTAAAAGTTTGTTATATAAGTTTATTTGAAAAATTATACATAGGCATACAATTGTAAAATATAGATATTGTTTACTTAATATAGTTTTAAAATAATTTAAATGAAAATGTTAAATGATATTACGTGTTTATTTTTTAAACTAATCAAAACATTTCTAACTGTTTGCTTAGAGATGTTAAATCGGATTTGGATTTGGCTTTAGTTTGAATTATTTTACAATTGTAAAATATAGATATTGTTTACTTAATATAGTTTTAAAATAATTTAAATGAAAATGTTAAATGATATTACGTGTTTATTTTTTAAACTAATCAAAACATTTCGAACTGTTTGCTTAGAGATGTTAAATCGGATTTGGATTTGGCTTTAGTTTGAATTATTTACGTATAGTTAGGAATGAGAAACCTGTCCCGTCCCGACCCGTCCCTTCCTGTCTCGTCCCAACCCATCCCGTCTCGTCCCGTCCGGACCCGTCCTGTCTGTATCGTCCTCTATC